GTGTGTGTGTGTGTGTGTGTGTGTGTGTGTGTGTGTGTGTGTGTGTGGTTACACACCAGAGGACAAAGGCAGGTCCGTGCCAGCGTCATGGTGAAGGACGCCATGGTAACGGGGCGGAAGTCAAGGATCCGGGGGTAGATGTCCAGAGGAGAGAGAGTCTGAGGAGGTCAAACAGAAGGAGATTCATCAGGTTACAATACGCACCGCCGCCGAGTGGTGAGATACCAACTTACCCCCGAGGTGATGATGACAGACTGAAATCTTTGAAAAACAGGTTTGATGGCAATAGACGGGTCCATACAGCTGAGAGAGGAACAAAGACAGATCAGAACATGTTAACCTGACGTTTCATCACACAGGTTTAGTCCTGCGTTAGCCTTCCACAACCATTAGACAACCATTAGTAGTTGTAGTAGTAGAGGCCATTTTGAGATATTCAGCAGATGCCTGCGCTCATGAGGCCCAATAAGAAGAAATGTCAGCAGACAGCTTTGTTTCTCAGTGTGGCTGTTGAGGAATGAACACGAGCACAGGCCATTCAACAAACTTTGCTTTTTTTATTTTGTTCTAATGCAAGTTTACAGAAACGAGGAGAAGCTGCCGTCTGCTGATAAATTATGTTCTTAATTGCACTAAAATTATACATTTTTTTGTGAAAATTTTGTTTTCTGTACCTGTAGACATTTATTTATTATTTTATATAAGATACGTGCACTGCAGAGTGTAGCTCTACTTCAGCATAAAGACACAATGTCAGTGTTAAGTAAATGTTCATTTAAGCACTTTTGATAAATTTATCAAATTGTTGTATTTTATCAGATGCAAAAAAAACATATTGGCCATCAGTCGCCTTGCTCTCAAATATTAGCCATTGAAAAACACATCTGTTGACCACTAATCATTAGTCAAACGGATTTGCTCGTGTTGAGGGACAGCACCAAAGAGACAATAATCAAAGACGCTTCCCTACTTTAACAACTACTGTATATCTGTGTATTTCAGCCCACCTGAAGTGCAGCACAGGGTTAGCGATGGTTGGAGTTCTGTCTTCAAAGGGCTCAATGATTATAGTAAAACCTTCAGACAGACGGAGAGAAGAAATGTTTAATGAACTATAAAATTACAGACAAGAGGATTTCAAAACCGAACAAACAATGTTTTACTTTAAAAAAAACAGAAAATAAACATAAGAAACTAATTGTGACTTCTGCCACACATTAAGACTGCAGATCTCTGCCAGGTATGTCTGCATGAGACCCTTCAGCATGAAGCCATACCCCTCAAACATTCTGCAGAATGCAAGATTAGCCGCGGACAGACACAGAGGTGCACAGTCACTCACGGACGAAAGCAAGGACGTCAATTGATTCTTCTGGCGGAGATGATAATAATAAAGATACAGTTGTAATACCTTGGCTGTAGGTGCTGACCAGGGTAGCAAAGTTAGAGATGAGAGTAACAGCTGAGAAGTCTGCGATGTCTGCAATCTCCAGAGTCCGTAGTAACGACTGCAACCGCTCTGCACAAAACCTGGAGACACACAGGCACGGGACAAAGGTGAGGGAGGAAAACGTGTCCAAATGAGGCTGTGCCCAGGAAATGAGGGAACAAGCGAGTAAAGAAGTGATTGAGCGAATGAGGAAGTGAGTGAGTACATGATCATCTGAGGAATCACAGATTTCAGAGACACTGACCTCAGAGGCTTGCGGTCGATGCAGACTTTGTCGAATATGTCTTTAAGGAACTGCGGGGTGCTCTCCTGTACAACGTGATGCACTCTCAGACGGGACTTCAGATACTCCAGGAAACGCTTCAGGAAACCAACAAAGTGCTCTGCTGTGCGAATGCTACCAGGGACCGCCTCTGAAGAGAAGACAACCGCAATGAATTCACTCTGAAACTCAATGAAAGGATAAAAAATGATTTATTTGATGGCCGTACCTTTAAGGACTTCATCTGGTAACACGGGATTTGACAGGTAGACGTCCGTTTCCCTGGCAACATTGGCTTCTTTCAGCCCCTCTACTAGTCGCCTGTACTCTATCTTCAGTTTGGCAGCGTCCGTCTCCTTTATCCTATCAGACAGCAGGGGGGGCGGGGCAGAGATGACAACAGGAAGTTGATGCACTCCATGTGGAAATAACGGATACATCCAAACATGTAATCATTCCTCACTTGAAATAAACAGAGTGGATTTGTGTTACCTGTAGATCTGATTAACTGGCAAATAAATACATTCATCAAAATTATTTCTCTTTTTCATTTTTCTCTTTTCAACAAAGAGAAAAATGCAAAAATATTCTACAAATTGTGAAAGATTCTCATAGCCTGGATCAGCCTTTGAAATAATGAATTTACTAACAGAATATCAATAAATGTAAACACACAACCAACACACGTTAGTAGAAAAGGCTCACTCTGTGTCTGACGCAGAAACATTTTACTAACTGGTTGGCGTCTGTACTCAGTAAAGAGTGAAGTACAGAATGTTGTTGATGCAGGTGAGCCGTCAAAGGGAACATGCGGCGACTAGTTTCACATTCTGTAGTGTCACGCTGGCAGCAGTCACGGTTCATCTTTTCTTTTTTATATCGTACGTATAAAAGCCACCAAAGGACTACAGAGCTGTTCAAGTGGACTCACTTCAGATGACGGTCTAAAAATGTTGTTCCAAGGACGGAAGTAACGGAAACGTAGATGTACTTAAAGGAACTGAGAAGCACTGAATACGTTTAATGTGACCTTTAACCTGACCCGCCAGATGTGTTATTATAAAGAACCGTCTGAGAAGCAGTCACTGGAAACTGTTTGGAAAAGGGCAGGCACATCAAAAAAAACATGGCAGGTGATTGGATGAACCATCTGTCAATCAAAGTCTTGCCAGTAGGGAGAGGAAAGAAAACATCGTTTGCATCGATAAAGGCCTTCAGTGCCCCGTAGCTGCCAGTAGCTGATTGGTCGGTTCACTGACTGACGGGTACATGATCCAGCGAGTCTCACCGCTTAGAAAAAACACCCTAAGTTAAGCTTTTCCTGAAAGTCTGAGTTGAGGTTTCCTTACAATGTTCACGTTAGTATCGAAGGTTTTCTCCTCATCTGTGACTTACATTTCAGGAATCACTTGAAGTTAAACAGTTGGACAAAACCTCATTACAACAAAAGGAATAAAACGTAACATGAGCGATTATGTAGCAATAAATGAAGAAGATGAATGAATCACAGGGAAGAGATTTTATAACATAAACCCAATCAGGACATGTTTATGCTCCGGGATCTTTGCAGTCAGTAACAGTAGGCGAGCTCTTTCATGCCCACAGGTCAACGGTGTGCCGAGTCATTCAGAGGGCTCTTACTTCTGTATGGTGCTCTGAAGAGTCTCCACATTGGTCTGGCAGCGGTCAAGTGTTCGTCTGGTGATGTTCACACTCATGGAGTCGATGCACACATTGTCTGAGGAGACGAAAAGAGGAGGGGACGAGAAATATTAGAGCTCCTCCCACGAGTCCTCTGTACATCGAGTGTGCTCGTTGATTATGATCAATCATCGATAATAGAACGATTCATTTGATCATAAACGTCATTTAAGACAGTAAAGGTGTGCTCAATCGCAAATAATGAGTTAAGAATAAATATCTATATTTCTCTCAGGTGCTCTGTGTGGCTGAACGTGGTCGCTGAATAAAAAGCAAGAGGCTCCCCGACACACACGTGTTGTATTATTCTACTCTATCGTATCAAATATTCTGTTATACTGCTGTACAATACTAAATATCATATACAGTGGGTACGGAAAGTATTCAGACCCCTTTAAATTTTTCACTCTTTGTTTCATTGCAGCCATTTGCTAACATCAAAAAAGTTCATTTTATTTCTCATTAATGTACACTCAGCACCCCATCTTGACAGAAATGTAGAAATTTTTGCAAATTTATTAAAAAAGAAAAACTGAAATATCACATGGTCATAAGTATTCAGACCCTTTGCTGTGACACTCATATTTAACTCACATGCTGTCCATTTCTTCTGATCCTCCTTGAGATGGTTCTACTCCTTCATTGGAGTCCAGCTGTGTTTAATTAAACTGATTGGACTTGATTAGGAAAGGCACACACCTGTCTATATAAGACCTTACAGCTCACAGTGCATGTCAGAGCAAATGAGAATCATGAGGTCGAAGGAACTGCCCAAGGAGCTCAGAGACAGAATTGTGGCAAGGCACAGATCTGGCCAAGGTTACAAAAGAGTTTCTGCAGCACTCAAGGTTCCTAAGAGCACAGTGGCCTCCATAATCCTTAAATGGAAGAAGTTTGGGACGACCAGAACTCTTCCTAGACCTGGCCGTCCAGCCAAACTGAGCAATCGTGGAAGAAGAGCCTTGGTGAGAGAGGTAAAGAAGAACCCAAAGATCACTGTGGCTGAGCTCCAGAGATGCAGTAGGGAGATGGGAGAACGTTCCACAAAGTCAACTATCACTGCAGCCCTCCACCAGTCGGGGCTTTATGGCAGAGTGGCCCGACGGAAGCCTCTCCTCAGTGCAAGACATATGAAAGCCCGCATAGAGTTTGCCAAAAAACACATGAAGGACTCCCAGACTATGAGAAATAAGATTCTCTGGTCTGATGAGACCAAGATTGAACTTTTTGGCGTTAATTCTAAGCGGTATGTGTGGAGAAAACCAGGCACTGCTCATCACCTGCCCAATACAATCCCAACAGTGAAACATGGTGGTGGCAGCATCATGCTATGGGGGTGTTTTTCAGCTGCAGGGACAGGACGACTGGTTGCAATTGAAGGAAAGATGAATGCGGCCAAGTACAGAGATATCCTCAGACTGGGCCGAAGGTTCACCTTCCAACAAGACAATGACCCTAAGCACACAGCTAAAATAACAAAGGAGTGGCTTCGGAACAACTCTGTGACCATTCTTGACTGGCCCAGCCAGAGCCCTGACCTAAACCCAATTGAGCATCTCTGGAGAGACCTGAAAATGGCTGTCCACCAACGTTCACCATCCAACCTGACGGAACTGGAGAGGATCTGCAAGGAAGACTTGCAGAGGATCCCCAAATCCAGTGAAAAACTTGTTGCATCATTCCCAAGAAGACTCATGGCTGTACTAGCTCAAAAGGGTGCTTCTACTCAATACTGAGCAAAGGGTCTGAATACTTATGACCATGTGATATTTCAGTTTTTCTTTTTTAATAAATTTGCAAAAATTTCTACATTTGTTGTTTTCTGTCAAGATGGGGTGCTGAGTGTACATTAATGAGAAATAAAATGAACTTTTTTGATTTTAGCAAATGGCTGCAATGAAACAGAGTTAAAAATTTAAAGGGGTCTGAATACTTTCCGTACCCACTGTATATTATTACATTGCACCTTATTTCTTACATTCTGTACTATATCATAACTTATTACTTGAATATATGTCACAAAACTTGATATGATATATTATATTTATATTATATGCAATATTAATACAGACAACACTAAGTGTCATTGCTTAATCACATTATATCATTTTACATAGAAACAGACTTGTTGACTTGCTCTTGATCTGCTCTTGTATATTATTATTTACTCTGTATCTGATCGTATTTGTCTTTGTGCAGCTGCAGCACCTGCTCAATGAAGACTTATCTCATTTCTTTATTCCTTTACTTTAATACAATTATTATCTTTAAATTTCAGAAGTAGGTTTTTACATACGAGGAACTTGCCTTGATGTTTTGGTGCAAGAGAAATACAAATAAAAAGGTAAGCACTGGAAGGTCAGGAAACATTCATTAGAGAACAAACATTTACAATAATGTGAAAATAAACTATGAAAATATGTACAGTGTTGAAAAATGAAGAATTGTGCAGTTTTGTGAAAAATGTTGTCTGGGTTATTTCAACTGTTACGTAATCAATCCATTTGATTGCACCAAATCATCTCCTCACCGATATTATGAGCCTCGTCAAACACCACGACGGACTTCTTGCACAGCTCTTTGGACACCAGGTCTGCTATCTTGGGGTCCAGCAGGTAGTGGTAACTGTATACCACAATGTTGGCATGCAGGAGCTGAGAGCAAACACAGACAATGTGAGACATACAACACCAACCGTTGTGACCCATCTTAAAGTATTATGAGATGTTTTCAGCCAAGAGCGACTGTGTCAGATTATTTATATTCGTGTGCAGTGCGACGTACCGAGTAGCGAGCCAGATAATAAGGACACCAGCCTTTCCTCCTGCCGAAGTCCTTCAGGTCGTCGAGGTTGTAGATGCCAGCGGGGAGAGGCACCTGTCGGCCGACCGCATCAAACTCCTGCGAACACGAACCAGAGTGACGAGAGCGGCAGACAGACACGGACACGACAGCGGAGAGGAATCACATCGACTCTGATGTAACAGTACAGCAGAGTCTGCACCTGCTGGAGAGCTTTACTCGAAGATAAAGAGTTAAGTCAAAAAACGTTTGGTAACACCACCGAACCCAAATAATACAGAACTGCCATGAGCAACAAGTAAAAGCATTTCTAGTCAATCCATAAGACGATACGCTAATTAAATAAGCGTATCGCCTCGTCTACATGAAAAACAGGAGCTGGTCTGAACCGGAAGCATTCAGGCGACTTCTTACCTCATAAAAGCGACACATGGGCAGGTCGGGGTCGCTGTGGCGCTGTGCGCGGATGTACGACGCCGTCAGTGTGTGGCACTTCCCATCAACCTCCTTACCGAAGCGCAGAGCGCTCACCTGGATAGAAGCAGATGACGGATACATTTACTCCTTTAGGCCAACTAAAATACAAAGAGGTCCAGTTACTAAAGTTTCCTCTCAGCAGAGGCCTGAACCTCATGATGTCTAAATACAGACACAAAACAGAGAGCTTGGTACTGTGTAAGATAAATCGCCGGACAGCGTTAAACGTGCGTTAGTGCGTTCGTGCTGTGCCCCGTGTTGTCTGTGAGGTCCTGATTTGGCGGCGCGGGGGTTGTTCATACCTCTGGGTGGATGCAGAGGTTTTTCCTGGAGGAGAGGGCGAGAGCCAGGAAGTTGTTGCTCTCTCCAGTTTGCTTGGAATAATACTCCATCAACTTCCGCAGCTCCTCCACGACCTGATCAGACAGCGGATCAAATATACGACATAAGTCATCTCAAGCCTTATTTTAAATGTTTCTCGAATGTCTTTTACTGTTTCATTTCAACTTTAAACATTTCTAAGCAGTAGGGAACGTAAGATAGGATACTAAATTGGAGTTGACATTGACTCGCCTTCTCGATCTCTGGAACTGTTCTGGAGCAGTATATTAGCTTGGTCACTTCCAAAGGAAAGGCCTGAGAGAGACAGAGACAGAGCGACAGACAGACAGACAGAGACAGAGACAGAGACAGAGAGAGAGAGAGAGAGAGAGAGAGATTGAAAAGTGTTCATGTTACATCGGCTGTTGGGAAGCGACAAGGAGTCCCATGAACGCAGCTAAACTCACCTTTTGGTAGGCAACAATGAGAGACAGGAGAGAGATGGTCTTCCCGGTTCCCGATGGCATCTCCAGGACTCCATGACCCTGAACACAAACACACAAAGTTAACTCTGTGTAGCTGTCCTCTCATTGACGCAGTAGAAAACAAAAACTGAAAATCATTTTAACTGCGTCCTTTGGTTAATTTGTCACCAGTTGCTAAGAGACAAACTCAAATGTGTCCACGTCTAATCCGCTCCCCACAGTAGTGACACAGCAGAGGAAGTATTCAGATCCTTTACTTAAGTAAAAGTACTAATACCACACTGTGAGAAATACAAATCTAAAAGGTGAGAGTTCTGCATTCAGAACCTAAAGTAAAACTATGCAAGTACTATCAGCAACATGTACTTAAAGTACGAGAAGTAAAACAATGTGCAGAACGAACCCAGCTACAAAACTACCTTTAATCCCACTGGATTTACTGCATCTTGTAAAATACACTGAGCGACACATAAACACGACCCACCTTGGCATCCAGAGTCCTCTTCAGCTCGAGCATGTAGGAGTACTGCTCCGGATAGATGTAGTCATACGGAAAATACACCAGCAGACCCTCGATGTTGAGCCTACAACAACAACAACAATAAGTGACTTCTGACACGCTGCACACTGAGAGCAGAGACATGCTGCCTCTTTGCAACGATGTGTGTGTGTGTGTGTGTGTGTGTGTAACAGCACCGCAGCGATGCTAGCTTCGTGTAGCAGTTACAAAGTGAACGAATGTCTATGAAGCTAAGCTAACCAGGCTCCGTCATTCCCAGCTGATGCTCATTACACGAACACACAGACTGACTTCAAGATGATCTCCGGAATAAACTGCAGCTGTGAGTGTCGGGTTTAATGTTACTTTAGCTAAATCATGTCAGCTAATGCATCTAGGTATGGTTGGTGGTGATGTAATCAAGCTAGCAACAACATCAACAGTCTCTTTCTTTTACTATCGTGATAGAAATACTAACTTCATGTTTGCAGAACGTGTAGCAGACGCTGCTCTTCTTCTTTAGTCACTTTCGCTGTTTATACGTCGTCATTTATAACTTTGGGGTAAGAAAACAACAGACACGCTGCAGGGATGAAGCGACTTCTTCTATCTTCGTCTGCGTCTTCGACATCTTCTTCTTCGGTGTTTATTGGCGGTTGGCAAACCCGTTTAGAGGCGCGTTACCGCCACCTAGTGGACTGACGCGGGATAACAGAACATTTAGTGTAATAAACAAAACTCTTCCCATTCCACCGACCTCGGGTCGTATTGACTGAAAAAGGTGATTTCTCTAGAGTGAAGAATAACTGACTTGAATCACAATACATGGTACATTATATAGATACAAAAGAATTGTTTTGGATCGTCTTCATCGAGCAAAACACATATTGTTAGCCTGGACACGTCTTTCAAAATGTTTAAATTATTTGATCCAACTGCACCAACTTGACAGTATTTGTATTTCGTTTTGCACAACTTGTACTACGCCCACCTCACACGTGTACACATGTATACAGTAAAAATTATGCCACTTTTTATGTTGTTGTATATTCATCGTTGTCTTTGTTTTCTTTTGCTCTACTGCTTTAACAGTAAAAGTACAAGCAATGAGGAATTATCTGGACTACCCTTTCGATCACACGACCCTCTCCTTGCACGTCATAGCGGTGTTCCTTTTTTTCTAACTAACATGACCATTTAGGTTTACCACGTTTTACAAATGTAATGTTCAACCTGCTGCAGTCTGGCAAGAATTACAGAAGTATCAGCTGCCATACCACCAGACTATTGTGTATATATTAGTGCTGGGCGATCGCGATTAATCGCCAGGGCCAGCAAGGCCTTCTCTGCTGCCCTAAACAGAATCACAAAGTTATAGCTATTTTCTAATTAAATAATTTTTCTTAAATACACTACATGTATTGTAATTTATAAAAAATATTATTTTCTCATTGCACAGCTACCGTCTTCCTCAGTTGCTCTGCTTCCAGTGCAGCTTGTTTTCAGTAGAGCTTTTATCCAATCAGATTTCACCTCTGTGTCTCTAGGTAAGAAGAGAGGCCCGAGGCCTGCAGACTCACAAGTGAATCCATGTGCAGTTTAAGTGAATGGGGACAATATTGTTGATTGTCATAGTGTTCAACCAATCAGATCTTTAGTTTGACATGTTTGGCGTATTCTTTGACGTGCCAGAGCCTGCTAGCTGGCCTACAACTACATCTGCATTACGTGCATCTGTATCTCCCACCCCTGTATCTCCCACCTAACAAGAGACCACCAGAGCACACACACGCACACACACACACACGCACACACACACACACAGACAGAGACACAGACAGACAGACATGGCGGCTCCAAAACCCTGAGGAAGTTCGTGTTCGGTCTTTCAGGAAGACAATCCTTACGTCTGAATACAACCTTTACCTCAGTCCCCGTCTCTCTTGTCCCCCTCTCTCATTACTGGGCAATTCTCCCCCCGGCTCTTTTCTCCAGGCTCCTACTCTTGTTATTCTCTCCCTCCCTTTCAGGAGTTTGGAATGAGTCCTTTCAAGTGTGGACGTAATTTACACAAAATAAAAATATAATTCTATGGTTTATGGATGTAAAACTTCCAGCAACAGACTTCTGATAAAGATTGTTACTGATTGGAAATTCCAGGACTGTCTGGTCAATAAGTTTGCAAAGCATGATATATTATGGGCTTCATAAAAACATTGTGAAGTCAGTGTACTCTAAAGCATGTCCAATGGTGTTAATAAGCACATATTTTCTACATTTTTTATTAGTCCATTAGTGTTGTTACACGATGGATAACAGCTCACCAGACTGCCAACAGACGCTTTCATGACCAGACAGTCCCTTGATCCAGATGTTGCAAAGAAGCAATTTTCCATTAAAACAAATCCCTTCACAGTAGGAGACTATTCCCTGTATGTGTGAGTAAAGTAAAGAACTGAGGCAGGTCTGTAAAGAGGCTGACAGCCCAGAAAGGGGTAAAAAAAGAACAAAGAAGAGAAAGAGACCTGACCAGTATTGTGTCTGACCAACTTTAAAGTGTCAAAGAATGACTCACTTCATTTATTGTTAATGCAATACATTTAAAAAGTACCACAGTGTTTACATTTGAAATTGAATTTGCTGTTTATTAAAGCCTTGTGTCACGAATAAGAATATCACTTTTTAAAAAGCAGACAAAGTCAGAAACAAGCTTAAACAATAAATAATGAACCAGTAGAAAAGTGTGAGTGCGTGTTAAGGCCTTCAGTTGTCCACGCTCATGAGCAGAGCGGTCCCTCTCTTGATCCAGTGGTCTGGGGTCACAGCTCCGCGTTTGAGTTCTATACCGACCACAAAAGATGGCCGGCCCGCCACCCCCGAACGCACCGGGAAGTAGTAACACGGACATAGGTACATACCTACACACACGCACAGACGCACAGACAGATATGAGACAGCAAAATCACAGGGCATGACATCACAAATGATATACAGACAGATGAAAAAACCTATGATGAAACCTATGATGAAAACCTATGATGAATTATTAAAAATAGAATAAAACAAAACAAGAGAGGAAGATGGAAAGACAGATGGAGGAAAGAACAACTCACTCTTGGTTCCCTTCTTTTTTTCCACAGGTTTGAAGTGGATGGTGGGGATGGGACAGACCATCTGCATGGGCTTAGCTTCCACCAGACAGGAGTTACTCTTGTCCCAACCAGCCCCCTCCAGGAACAAACCTCGGACAAATACTCCATCCTGTAGGGGGGGGGGGGGGGGCAGGGAGGAGAGGGAATGAGCAAGGAAACAAGGAGGAAAAGGCCATTAAGTAAATTAACCTGTGAAAGAAAAAGAGTGGGAGGGGTAAAAACCACGGGAAAGAGGAATAGAAAGAGGACTGAGAGAGGGTCGAGACAAAGAGGAAGATAGAGGAGATAGGAGGGTAAGAAAAAAGACAGATCCGTTTGGACAGAAGGAAACAGAGTCAAAGAGCTAAAAGGAAGTGAGGGGAGGCACAGAGGAGTTGATACAGAGAAGAAAGGGATAAAGATGAAGCGAGTGAGAATAAAGAGCTACAATGACAAAATGGGAGCAACACGTATTTCAAAATGTGAATTGTAAAAGATGAAAAAAGCAAGAGTAGTTTTGAGGAACGGGACGAGAGAGGAGCGGCTTTCTGCTTTGAATGAAAATTGTTCAGGAAAAAACACAGAGTCAATGTTAGAAATGTGTGGAGAGGGAGTCACCTTGGGCGGGGAAATAAGGTGGCTGTCATCTCCGGTGGACACTATAAACTCCCAAGACAGCTTGTCCACTGATATCTGAAAGAACAGTTCGACACTATGTTAATGGATAAGATGTTGAGATTAATCTATGAGAGAAAAGTGTTCAGCAGGTTGTGTTTGCCAAACCAACACAGGGCGTATATCTGAAAAACAATGTGTTTATATATGTCTGTAAGATGTGTGCTGTGAAAATCAAACATGACATAACTTAAAAACAAAGATTTAAAAACAGAATTCGAGCTGTTGGTATCCAGGTTCCAGGTTCATTTTTGGAGTTTATTCTTCAGTTGTAGAATCAAATAGTTAACTGGGAACCCCTTTCATATTATATGGCCATCCAAGACAAACAAGACAATACAAGCGGTATTCCTTAATGTAGTGACAGCGTCTTTCTGCCTGTGTGGATGTGGCTGTGTGAACTCTCACGTTGTGCTGTCGAGCAGAGGACTGCAGCACAGCGGTGAGGAACCCGTTGGGAAAGGTGAAGCTGGAGAGCCAGAACAGTTTGGGGGGCTCGGCCGTCTCTGCCCAGCGCGCAAACTCACTGACCCGCAGAGAAAGATCCCTGATCCACGCTGCCAGGGGCTTCAGTGAAGGGTACGCCTAGAGGCCATATACAGTGAGGGATGAATCAATTACATGCTTCCAGCAGTTGGCAGCCATTCATAATGCAGGTGTGGAAGAATTGTGTGAAAATTCTCAAGTGAGGTGGGGGGTCTGGTACCTTCTCCCACAGCGGTGGAACACGGGCGTCATGGATGTATCGGAAAGTCTCCTCCAAGCTGGATGACATCACCACCAAGCCTCTGATCCCTTTCTCCAGCTCCGCCTGGGATGAACTAACACACAAACACACACTGTAGGTGTTTAGTCGTCATCTAGTCTGGATCTATTGGGATTACCGTGCATCTGGACATAGAGGTACAAATAAACAGGCCAGGTGATTGGGCGATTGTTACTGATTTGCATCTTTGATGCTAGTGCCTCTTTGTGTCGCAGGTTTACCTTGAAAATGACTGGTTTTAGTTTTTACATTGAATTTAGATACACTTGTGTAAATGGTTTAACTAGTGATAGACAAGAAACAGTGTTGGTAAATTCTTTCAGAAGGGTTTGCTCAACCTAATTCTGTAGGAATTGACAATTGCAATTCATTTTATCTGGAAAACAGGCTAATGCCTTCACAAGTCACTATAATTTGATCTCACTTTAGGTTGCCCCAACCCAGGACCGATACACACACAAATTGCAAATAATATTTGGATTAATGTTTTTGGAATTAAGGGATAAATTCATGTTAACAACCACGGCCACTTAGTCTGCTGCCACTGCTCAATGTTAGCAGCACATCCCTATCCCTATTGACACAGTTAGTTTCACATGACAGTTACACACACAGAGGTACAGTACCTACGACACACACACGGCTAGCAGAGATTCTGACAATCAAACCCAACGAAACACACACGCAGACATAGAGATCATACATGATAGTGTCCAGCAGAGAATTGTATCTCTGGATCTCTTGCAGCAGGACCACATTGATAGGGGAGAGGTTGTACTGGAGGATGGATCTGGTGCCCTCGTAGTCAATCAATGGCGGGATCTTCTTACGGACGTCTGCCAATAGCTCTAATACCTGGAGGCACGTTGCAAACAGTACAAAAGATGATAACTTACAAATATACTGCACACAAGTATTTGCAGTGAAGAAACTGCAGAGTCGGATTGTGGTGCTGCATTAAATTGGAGGACCTATAATAGTTCAGGCTTCGGCTCTTGATAATCCTTTCTAAAATACACACATACTCCGACATCAGTCATGCTCCAATAACCAAAATAACCTTATCTTTTAGCACTATTACACTACCATAACATTTAAAGCATGTTTAAATTGTTGGTCTCATCCTATGCCCGTCTATTAAATTGTGTATTTCCATTAAACTGGTTATCTCTTCCCTCCACTTCTCCCACCTTGCTTCTTTCTCACCTTATCTTCTCTACTGGGCCTGTCCCCCACAGCAGTAGGACTGGTGACCTGGGGCTGCAGGGAGAGCAGGGTGTCAAACAGCGTCCTGGTCTCGGCGATCTGGCTGGCAATGTCTGCATTAGAGTGCTGGCCAAACACCTCAGGGTGCTCTGTGGACGGCAGCCTGCTGATATATTCCTTGTAGGAAGACTGGGGTCCATCATTGGGGATGTAATAGGATGTTAAGGAGGACAACCTGACAGATAAATGGGGTTGACAGAATATAAAGTCAGTGATATAAGATGTTTTTTAGAAACATTGGTGTACAATTTCCAATTTCCTTGGAGAGATTATTTTCATCTCATCTGAAGTAACTGATGTAGAAACATAGCAGCAAAACATAACCCTGCCAATATAAATGACAAAAACACAGAGAGTTAGTGTATTGAAAATAGTCTCTAGCACATACTGCCTGAATGTATGGAGTGCTAGAATTCCTATTCTTTAAACATACATGTATATGTGTAATAATGAATGTGTGTTAAAGTGTCTTACTTGAAGGAGGGCTGGTTCACGGCAGCATCACAGAAGTAGTCGCTGATGTATGTGGTCAGAAGACGTCTGTCCCAGTCGTCTGTTACGTGACCTCCATAGTTGACCTCAGCAATGAGGTACTTCAACGCATCCCAGGGAATCTTCTCATACATATCCAGGTACAGACTGAGCAGATTCTGACTCACCTGGGGGGCATCAAGATGAGGATTTTAACAGACTGGCTTTGAAATGCAAGATACAGACCAAGAAGTAAAGGAAGTAAGTAGGTGGTCTCATACATTTTAAGCTTTATATGCCTTTATGCGATAGAGCAGTGATTGACAGGAAAAGGGGAGAGAGCGGGGACGACATGCAGCAAAGGACCGTGGATCAGATTCAACAAATAGTCTCATACATTTCAATTCGATTGTCATTATCCATTTGTCTAACAAACACTCTGACAGGGTATAAAATTGCCTTTCTGCCTTCAGCCGTCACTGTTTCCTTCAGTGTCAGATAAAGCTCTGACCTCAAAGTCAGAATCGTTGAATCCATAGACAATATTCCAGCCCAGCTGTAAAAACTTCTTCCTTTCCAGCAGGATGCTGTGAAAAAAGCAGAGGGAGAAGAGCATCTTCCTGTACAATGCGGGTCTTGAGCAGCGGGTGAATTGAGACTCCGTCACCAGCTGGCACAGACGCTTCATGTTGGCTTTCACGCCCTGAAAACAACAGGGTGTTAACAGTTTTAACACCACTATGGAGGTTGGTACTTGTATTGTATGCACATCTTACTGTAAAATATGTGTAGGCAAATTCAAACTGAATATTCAAAGAACTTCCATGTATATATGTTGACATGTATAGCATGTATGCTTTATAGAAGATATGTAAAGTCTGGAAATCTGTGTGTGTGTGAGCACATTTGTGAGCACATGCACCTTTGGTGGTTCTGTGGTCATCTTGATGCCAGCCTGCAGGATGGTAATGGGAAATTCAGGATGTGGCGAGGAGCTGAGCCAGAGTCGGAAGTTTGAGTGGGGCTCCTGCACTTGTAGCTGCTCCACCAGCTTGTCCAGCTCAGGCATCCATGAGAGAGAGAGGTGGCAGTTGGCAAGGAACACCCAGTGACCTGGTCCAGAGAAACAGAGGGCTTCAGATAGGCTGATATAACTTGTTTAGATATTTCTATTTCAAGTCTAGTTGTTGTTGTTGTTGTTGTTGTTGTGAGGTTAGGTTATCTTGCAGTGACCACAAAAGAAAGAAAACGCCCAATCTAAGCACTTCGTACACTTTGTTAAGTACAAGGGACTTTTGACACTAAAATAATCAGTTGTAAGAGACAAAATGACACTTCTTAGCCACTGAATGAATCCGACACAGAGGAGCAGGAAGAAAGACAGAGCGATTAGTGTTGTACCATTCTTGACACCCTCCTCTATCATGCTCTTGGCGATGGGGGCCTGTCCCTGGCCCAGAGAGAGAGCATGGAAGTGCTTGCTCATACCAGAGGCCTCAGCCAGCTGCAGCAGGGCTCCTGTGGGATCCACCCCAGGAGACAGAATGAAGATCAGAGGAGTCCTGCTGGTGGATTCCTCCACAACCTGGAGAGAGAACAGAGACAGTAGCAAAGAGGGACAAAGAAAGAAATCTGAATTTGAGCTAAAATCAAACAGAACAACGCAAATAAAATGTTTGAAACATTTGTTCCAATTCAAAGCTTTACATCTAATATTCAAGAGGGAAGAAGTAACAGGGACCAACAGAAGAACACTCACGGCCTTCATGTCAAGAACAGGCGGCTCCACAAAGTGATGGCCGAGGATGTTAACAATGAAGGAGGCGACGCACAGGGAGACACGGTCCTGACGCAGGGAGCGCACTATCAGCATCTTCTGGAGCTCATTGCAGTTATGCTCCCAATTATCTAGAAGGAAAGAAAACGTCATTGTTTATAATAGAGACCATTTTCTTCAGTAACAAAGTACCGAAGAAAAAACTCCCACGGCACATACAGACCTGGTAGTGTGGCAACCTCTGGCTCAGCACTGGTGAACCAAAGGTTCCAGTCTCTGGAGTAATGTTCAAAGGAGGCTATGATGCCATGGAAGTTGGGCAGCTTATTCAGCTCTGTGATGTTGTCCCAGCTGGAGTCTCCCAGCCAACTGGTACAGGGGTTGTACATCTGATCCTTCTTATCGAGTACCTAGAAGCACATCCATCAGTTACTCAGTAGGCAAACTATCCTTCCATCAGTGCTTCAATAAATTGTCCAAATAACCCATTAACTCATCAATGATACAGCACCAGGCCCCAGAGATGTTAAGAAATTCACTGGAGAGGAAGGGTAGTTTTGGAAAACGTAATGGCTATGGACATTTTGGGAAAACACATTGTCGGCTGTCTTTGAAGGGTAAGGATAACTTCTACATGGCTCAACATTTAAATACACAGTGGAAATTCTTTTGGGGCATTAAGTGTTCCAAGTGTTTGAGAATAAAAGGTGTGTCCTGTTTGATTATCCCAAATCAAACAAGGTAAAAACAAGATGTCTGAGTGTGTACTCTGTTTTCTTACGAGTCCTCCTCGGAGGAAGAAGCTGTACTCATTCATGTTGAGTTTTCCAGCCACCTCCAGAATTTTGGCACACATCTGGAAGCTGAAGAGCAGCTTATGGCACTCGAACAGACCACGACACGTGTACCTGCAGAGGATAACATACAGAGTTAGCTAAAAAAAAAAAAGACAGTGTATGTTTCTGATTGATCATATCACAAACTTATAATTCCAATAAGTGAACTGATAAGATATGACATAAACGTCTTTATCAAGGAAACAATTACGTGCTACAGTAGCATTAAGGGCTATGTTGCTATAGTATGTCTCAGTTCACAGCTGAGGTTCAGGAGGTAAAGCAGGTACCAGGTTGGCAGTTCAATATAGGCTCCTCGTGTCCATATGTGAAGGTGTCTTTGAGCAAGACACTGAACCTCAAATCCTCAAAAAGCTCAATATCAATTAGTGACAAAAAAAATATAACCCATTTCATATCCTCAACAGTTATTGAAACAATTTCTGTGTTGAAGATTTCTGTTGCTCTCAATGGGCAGGCCAGCAGCTTGCACGGCACGTCTGCTGCCATCAGTGTGCATGTGTGTGTAAATGTTAAGTGCCAAGATTGTAAAGCTTTGTTTGTCAGCACAGTTATACAGCTTATTTCTACATAACGGTCTTTCTCTGTCCATACCAAACATTTCCTGACTGGAATTCCTTTGACTCATATTTATGAAAAGGGCTGGCTCACCTGTATACTGCATGTGTGTGGTACTCATTGAGGTTGTCTATCCTTTCCTCCAGCTTGTTGCTGCACTTGCTCTTTTTTATGCTGAGGTTGAACAGGTCAATGTAGGCATCCAGTGAGAACTGGTACATGGGGTCAATGTAGCCCATGTCGTTTAGAATGGAGAAGAGGATGGAGGCTCGCTGGGCACATGGGCGATAGGCCTGTAAGGAGAGAGCACTTTAAGTTATGTTCACATACTCTATGCACAAACTGACATGCAAATGAACCATTTCAATAACATTATTTTAATATGCAGACAGATGGCCACCAAAACTTTTCAGAAAAACCCCATTGGTTTATAATTGCTCACTTTGTCTTACTAGTGGTGCAAAATCCTAAAGATAGTCGATCATAAAACCTAATTCCCCCGCTGCCCCAATCCCCTCATCCCTACACCTGACCAACTGTATGTAAGAAATGGACGTAGTCACTGTGACATCACCCAGTGGTTTGTGGACTGCCATTTTGAAGTCTCGAGTTTGGCATTTTGGCCGTCATCATCTTGTTTTTTTTGCAACGAGAAATAACACATGAGGGTGGTTCTAAATTCAACTGAATGCAAGACAGTTTTAGGCAACCAAAAAAAGTTACAATAACTTTCATGAACTGAAACCACACTGTGAGAGGGTTAAAGTTCTAAGATGAAAACATGGACAACTCCAAGACCAGACAACTGCGTGGTAGCAACCTGTCAATCACAGTAGCCCCGCCCTAAAGCATACTTTGCTTTATGGTCTGTTTGACTCTAAATGGACCATAACTTACTAAATAACATCATGCTGTATTGAAGAAGACTTGAAACTAGAGATTGAGACCATAAACTCATGTTCACAATGTTTACTGAGGTAATAAATCAAGAGAGAAGTAGAGTCATTTTCTCATAGACTTCTATTCAAGCTGACTTCTTTTTGCAACCAGAGGAGCCCCCCCCCCCCCAATGGCCATTAGGAAGAATGCTAATTTAAGGCACTTTTCAGACCCGGAGGTTGCCCCTGCTCCTGACCTCTCTAGCAGAGTCGATCTTGATCTCGGTCTGTTCACTGCTCTCAAGCTGCTCTGAAACCTCAGTGGCTGTCACTTTAGATGTCTGCAGGGTTTTCACCAGCTGCTCATCGTCCAGCAGTGAGCCAGTCGCCTCATTCAGCAGCCTGGTAGAGTAGACACACAAGCATACGACATAAAAAAACAACAACCTACATACATAAATACAACAAAACAGTGCCACAATGTCTACTAGGCATGACAGACCAAGAAAAACATTTTGCAAACACAAACACATGAGGGTTCACATACATCAAAAATTAAAGTTTGACTTGAAAACTTTGAATCACTTACTCTTAGGAAGGTAAGTCATCATATCATTGTCTACTAGTATTATTACTGTAATAGCTAAACAACCTGAGGATCTCATCCTCCAGCTTCTCCAGGCTTCTCTTGCCAGAAGCAATGCTGATCACCAAAGAGTCCTTCTGTTCTTCTAGCTCTGGACGCTCCTTACGCACCACAATTCCCAGTAGCTGGGCTTCCAGACCCTGCACACACAGACACACACACACATAAACAGATAATTTAAGGAAACAACTCATACTCTCTAAATGTATGTGTACACAACTGAGGATACGCGTACATATAGAGAAGTATACAATAGTGAGCTGGAGCCCAAACATACAGACACATAGACTCAGACCTGCTCCATGACGGCGAAGTTGACGATGATGGTCTTTGTAGAAATCTCTGGTGTGTAGTGGGGGTTAGACAGCTTGGTGGTGATGTAGAAACGAAACTCTGGATTGTACTCCACCTCCTTATCACCTAGCTTCAACAGCAGCCGGCCGCCTGAGAAAAAAAACACAGAAATGTTCACCCATGCACTCTTTGGATTCAGCTACAGCCTCATATTCAGCTGAAAACTTCAGCAGTTGGTATTCCAATTTGTGAACTTGTGTATGTACTGTATGAGTGTGTTTGAGTCTGACCTATCCGTGTCATGGACTTGTTAAGAATTGGGTCGATAGAGGGGTCCAAATCCTCCAGGACATTCTGCAGCAGAACAGGATTCCCAAACTGGATGGCGTTCTCCAGCACCCGCAGGTAGTCTGGCATTTGAAAGTCTATTACTTTCAGACCCTGCACATGTGGACACACATGTGCGCAGGAGGACAGAAAGAGACATAGAAGAGGGATAAAACAATCAACAAAACACAGCCTGTCTCACACAAAGTCATAGTCCTCCAATGGGATGGGACTTTCACTGTCGTTTGAAGTTGATTCCATTGATGTTATGCAAAGTACTGGGAGGTATGGTACAGTCTTCCCAAGTTCAGCATATACTCATGGGCCATCAAGAATCCGCCAGTCCTGAAATCTGGTCTGTTGAAATATATTTAAAATTTGAGCAGAGATGCGATTGTCTGAGCCGGCTTTAGTAGAAGACATTTCTCAACAAAAATGGTGATGGTTCTCTTCTTGTTGCTAGTGAGGACCAGCCTACTATTTCATATAGTACGAAGTGATGACTGTGCTATTTATCTCCTGAAATGCAGGGCACAAAGGCATTAAGTTGTTTTAAGGTGGAATAAGCAGTTTGAGAATACAGGTTATCCTTGTTCTTCAACACACTGATTACCTTTCTTGAGTAATAGTGTGGTAAATAATCATGAGAGGTAAAATATTATTGACATTATCACGGAAAAACAGCTTTTGCGTGCGACTCCTCCTTGATCGTGTGTGTGGTGTGTTGCAACGGCTCTCCGCGGATGTCCGCTCCCGAAAGTTCAGTTGAACTTTCTACCCGAGCAGCTCTGAACTTTGTGGGCGATACAGCTACCAGGTTTGTTAAAAAAACAAAGTTTGAGTGTCTGAAACAAAGGGATCCGCAACATTAGCATTGGTAACGGTAAATACATGAAGTCATTTGTAAAATTTGAGTGCATACATCCGTCTTCTCTGGACACCTTCCTATGCACTCAATTATCCATGATTGTTCAAAAAATACAACAGTTAAGACACGAGAACATAGAATATGAATCAGAATAAAGTTGGCTGAGTCAAGACTTACTCTCTTCATCTCCATATTCTTGATCCATTTCATAGACTGGCCTTGAGGGTCCACCATCAGTGGCCATCTTGAAAGAAGGGAAAGAAATAAAACGAGTCAACTTGTATTTGCAGTATGAAACACACGTGTTGTACAGTGAACACAACAAAATCCAAATCCAAGAAAAAAAAAATACAAAAGCATTTTAATTTTGAATGCTTACTGGACAACAGCTAATATTAGTGAATATAACATTTATTAACAGATTGTGTTGACATGCACTGACCGGTTTCCGCGGGTGACGATAACTCCATTGTCAGTGGAGAATGCGTCGGAGGGCAGGCCCTGAATGTTCCAGTCCCTCACGACTGTAGGCTTTGACAGAAAGACTGCAAAACTGAACCCTGGTGTGCACGGGATCGCTAAGTCCCGTAACTGAGGAAAGGGTAAACAGAGTACAGTAGTAACTGTAGAGGGAGTTCAAGTATTTGGCAAGCTTTTATATGTTTTTATGAGGCGTGTGTCTGTGTGCCTCACCTCCTCCATCCAGATGGCAAGCAGCTCATCTCTATAGTTGGAAAGGAAGGGTCCCATGTAGGACAGGAAAGACGCTGCAAGTAAACAGTCTCCCACCAGGTATCCCATGTTTTCCTCAAGACCCTGAAGTACATACATAGGTATGAGTGTATATGTGAGTTATGTATTGTACTGTGTGATCTGTTTGTTTCTACCTTGCCCCAAACAACCCCCCTAGAAAGAAAAGACAGATTCCCAGTAGTAGAAGAGTTAACATTTTTGTTGTGTGTGTGTGTGCTTGTGTGTGGCCTACAGCAACTCTCTCCTCCCAGCGAACCCTCTCTCCAGCCAGTCCAGTCACCAGTTTGTCAGCTCGGTCCAGTTTAATCTCCATCTCATCGGATTTCTCCTTCAAACTTCTCTGCATGATCCGCTTCTCACCGAGCTCCTTTTCCAGCTGGTCTTTCTTCTCCCCCACCTGCCCACAGACACGCACAGCAATTATATAAATTCATCATAAATAGTCCTATCATATGTAAATTGGAGTCACTATAATGCTACTGTTGCACTCATATATATATATATGCATGTCTAAATGCCTATCAGGCTGCTTGCTAGATGCACTGGGCTCCATACCTCTCGCAGTTTGTCCTGGGCCGCAGCCAGTTCAGCCTGTTTCTCTGCTAACTGGGCCATGGTAGCATTCAGCTGAGCCCGCTTGGGCTCCACCACCCTGAAGGCACGCCCATAAACCTGGAGGAACAATGCACACATCCATGGATTTAGTTTTGCCACCTATTTTCCTGTTCATGTATTCATTTCACAAAAAGCTCCAATTGTTTTGTGATACCACCTTTGCTGTGCTTACTATAGCAAATGCTTTTTTTCTGCTGCTACGCAGTAATGCACTTAATCATACAGCTCATTGTTGAATTGTACGTGTGTACAATGTGCCAATATTAGTGCCATTGTCTGGATGCATTCAGTTACTAACTATTTCAACAACAATTAGCTACAAATGATTAATTACAAACTATTACGTGAGCTTGGGGCTTTATGGTGACTATTCATATCTGTAAGTGTGAGTAAGAGTGTGTGTGTGTGTGATTGTGTGCTGGTAGCCAGCAGATACTCTATTACCTCCATCGCTCTGACCCACATGCAGAGGGACTTGGCAGCTAGTGATACTTTGCCGATGATCTCTGGCTGGAAGTCTACTTCTCTGCAGTACTGGCCGATATTCTTCAACACACGGCCCGATATATTGTCCTTGTCAAAGTTAACTAAAGTTTTGATGAAGTTGGAATCACCTGCCAGAAACAAAGTCACATAGGTCAGAAAACCATGAAGATTTGTATTTTTTTCTCTTATGTGTGTCTCTCAGTTTAATTCATTTTCCTTCACCTTTTTTGTGTTATCTATTGTCATGACAACTCCACAGCTTTTTGATCAACAAGAGGGAAATGCAGTGCAGTTTGTGAATGTTGATTATCTTCACTTGTGTTCCAGCAAATATTGCAATGTACACCTAATTTACACAAATAGTCTTTTGAAAGTAGAATCTAATAAAAACTAGAATTAGCGCCTCATGTGTTGGCCTCCACCAACCAGTCATGTTGCAGTTAAAATTCATGTCTGTCTAGGCTGGCGTCAATTCATCACTTTATCCTAAGGATATGAAATTGTCATACTTTAACATGTGAATTCTTGAGTTATGATTAAAAACCTGTTTTGTGAGGTCACAGTGACCTTAAAACCACCAAATTCTAATCATTTCAACCATGAGTGCAAGTGGACGTTTGTGCCAAATTTGAAGAAATTCCTTACAGGTATTCCTGAGATATTACGTTCAAGAGAAAGTATAGGACGGATGGACAACATGAAGACATAAGGCCTCTGGTCATATAAAACTAAATGCAAAACGCTATCAAATGACCCTTTGGAATAGAATTGCTTTGTGATAGTCTCTTTGATACATGTTATCTGAGACATGTTATTACATTTTGAGTGTGTGCAAATAGTGTGTTTAATCTACCCTTAGCTGCTAACCTTTGTTCAGCAGCAAACTTAATTTGAATCAGTTATTACAATTGCAAAATCCAGGATATTTCTCTCTCACCTAGCTGTCTCTTGGCCTCTGCCCAGGTAGGGTCTTTGCCCAGAAGGGTCATGACAGCCTGCATCACTGTCTCCACCAGCGCTGGGGGACAGGCATATGACTTGATCTCCGTCATGTCCCTCTTATTCAGAGACTCCAGAGCCTAGGTGCAAAAGGAGGAAGGAAAAGAGAATGTGTGGGTGTAAGAAGGGTGTACTGCTCGCTGAGTCATGTTTAGTTGAAATTTAGACAACCAGAAAGCCCCACTCTCAAATGGCAAGGTGTTTATATTAGTGTTGGAGAGAAGCAGAGCAGTCAAATATACTGAAAGGTGGAGGATTATTACTCATCAAGTATCAAGGAAATAGTTCAACCAGACACATTTATGAACAAAGTCAGCACCTACAGTAAATACACACAGAGGGACTGAAAGGATTATAAAAGTTAATAGCAAAGAGCTCTACCTTCATGGCCTCATTCAGTGCAGGCAGGACCTCATCCAGATCTCTCTGTGCATTCTCAGCCATGGCTTTGCATTGTAACTCTTCTGCCCCGATTTTCACATTTTTAGCACTCACCACCTCAACACAAACATACACCAATGTGTCACTGACTATTATACGCATCTTTCCTATTAGCAAACCACCACAGACCTTCCCAAACACAAACCACTAATGTGAACTTTTGTGGGTGTGAATCACATTATGCGTTAATCAAATTATTGCTGAAATCTATTTAATAACTGTGTGCGCATGCAAACATTTTTGTCTTGCTTACCTTCTTCTGCTTGTTAGCCTCCGTCGTCTGCTGTAAAATGATGGACAGGAACTCGACACACTGTATCTGGAACTCTGCCACCTGCTTCCTGGCCTCCTCAAGCTCTACAGACATGGCCTCCACCTTCTCCCGTGTGTCATTGATCTTGAACAGGCCATTGCGCAGCTTGCTCACCTGCTCCCCCAGTTCACTGCGTTTCTCTGCCAACAACCTGGATGTATACACACACACACACACACACACACACACACACACACACACACACACAAACGCAATCAGATGATTAACATGGGGATTTTGTAAAGTCACTTCCATGCTAGATTTAACCAGGTTTGTGTTATAAGTCTGCTTGTTCTGGTTTCGCTTTATTCTGATTTATGACCCGAGAGCATCCACACCTAATGTATGCATTATCTTGGTGTGAGCACTGACACTCAGAGCTTACAATGGGACCAGTTCAATGTTAACAATCTATATGGCCCTCAAAACACACATGAAGCGTTTGAAGGTGGTATGAAGAGAGGAGAAAGAGAAGCAAGAATAAGTGAAAGAGAATGTTTAAAGGTGCCTACTTTCTGTATCCAGACACCAGCTCCAGGTAGTTGGTGGGTGTCACATAATTATGTCTCCTCAGCTCCAACTTCATCCTTTGGGAGACCTGTGCAACTGACTGGTGTATGGTCACGAAGACACTGGCTACCTTTGTCTGGATCTACAACATCAGAATTTTGAGTTTTATTGGCCAAGTATGAGAACACATACCAGGGATTTGAGATAATATACAATATACATGAGGATGAACTTGCTCACACATAAAAATGTCTATTTATGTGTGTGTGTGTGTGTGCCTCACCCCCTCCAAGGAGCCCAACTCCAGTCCATCCAAGTACCTCTCAGCCACCTCCAGCAGAGCATCTTTGGGCCACTCACAGAACCAGTCAATGGTGGTGCAGTTTACAAGCGCTGGGTACTGGAGGATGTGGTTCCTGTTGGCAAACAGACATTTATAAATTGTATTCAGATATAATTTGTTGATATAATGATCTCCATTACACCCTTGTGGACACAGGGTCTGTATATTAGTGCGGGTGTATTTGGCAGTTGTTTAAGAAAAAAACATAAGGAGAAAATATTGAAGCCATAATGCATCCTGGATATGCTTCAAAGTCATTCAAATGAATGCTGATTTTTGCTGCAAAAAGCTATAATTTATATTTTGCTGTAACTTATCATTGTGAATTAAATGTTGATTGTACTACATAATGGCTATAGAATAATGACAATATCAGCATTTAGATTGGTTCCCTTTAAGTCTTCCTTTTAATTCTGTCTCCCATTGAACAATCTTGCGATAAAATGAAGGCTTTACAAGTTTTATGTCACAAGTGCATCAACCACTGCGTAACCAAGACAGGAGAGGACAGTGCTTTTGTTCTCCCTGGTAGCTATTGATAGCTAGAGCCCTGTTGACAAAAGAGGCTTAGAAGGCGAAGAGGGGGGAGTGATAAAAAACGCGGTATGGCCCTAATGTGTGATTTAGACAGTAATAGCAGCTAGTGGTCAGAGGGCCAGGACGACTTGTCACTGAGAGACTGGTGATTAGCTCTGGGTAATGGGTGAACAGCACCCTATGCTACTAATTACCACCAAACTATCATTGCTTGAGGGGGAAGAGGAGATTTGTGAGAAGAAATCTGAAGTGTGAATGTGTGTGACACGGGACACAGAGAATGAATAACAGAAAATGTATGTATAATATGCATACTCGCCCCTGTGTGTGTGTGTGTGTGTGTATGTGTGTGTGGAGACAGCTGGCCCTCTCTGTCACAGAATCCATACTGTTTGGAAATACAGCGAGCCTCAGGTCCTTGCTACAGAATCACCAAAGTGACCAAACCTCATTTGCTCGACAACACAAGCGTCAGTCAGCCATTAACAATGTGTTAATGGCTGATGTCATGGTGAGGCCTGACTTACTGTCCCCAGTGTACCTTTGAGGAGCTGCTGAGGGGTAATGCAGGACACAGTTGCACTGTGCATAAATACGGTGTTCATTGCCATAAACATTTGTGTCAACAGTAAAGAGAGGTGAAAAAAGAGGAGGGAGGAACATATTGCTAACCCAGGTATATTATAGGGAAACAAAATCTGAATCTACCTGAAGGACTCTCCCACTGGGCTCATACAGAGCACTATGTGCAGGTTGTCCCTGACTCGCTCTATCAGGTAGCTGAACAGGGAGTCAGGAGTCTCATTGTTGTTCCTGGCAGACTCTGACAGAGCATTGCACACCTAGAGGTAGAATGACAACAATTACATGTTATGAGAATTGGAAGTAGGTTTAAAAAGGTTAAAAACTTGAACGACCTACAGATGCCACAGAATGTGAGATTAATACATATGAGAAGCTGTATGTTACTTAAGGAAGATTTCAAGAGCAGACTGTAAGTCGACCACTACAGTCGGGTCAGTCTTGCATGACACGGAGGTTTTTATCTTCACAGAACATTCACACTTTATAGCAAGAATAATTTGCAAAATGTCAAAAAAAAGACTCAGCTTAGATTATTTTCTTCACTATCTTCTGTGTGAATTGAGTTCATTTAAACCATAAATATATGAATGCAAGCATACAAATACAATTGAAAATAGAAGATAGGAATATAGGAAATAGAGTTAGACAGATGCAAAGACAGGAGGCCAAAAAGACCTAATAAACATATACAATACAGACCTCAACAAACTCGTCCTGCTTGTAGAGGTTAGGCACCTCGCCAGAGCTCAAGATATTATTGATGTCCTCTAGGAAGGATTCGTCTACGATCTGGGTGTCATTGAACAAGAAGACTGTGGGCTTGTTGTCCACACCAGTCAACCAGTACAGCTGCTTGATGTCTGAAAGAAAGGACAGAAAAAAACTTCCTATATATATTGTAGCTGACTGAAGATGGGATGAGAGGAAGTAACTGTTTTAAAGAATATATTTGAGTACCTTGTTGTTCTAATATTGTTTAATATCCGTCTTTGGTTTAAGTTTTCCTCGATTTAATTTCCAAGCAATAGGCGATATCGTCATGCTTTCCTTTTCTCAAACATCTGGTAGTAGTGTGTTTGATCTCACCTTCTCTGAACTCCTGTTTCCGGTACTGCTTGGTGACTTCCACCTGGAATACCTGGTATTCACAGATGAAGGCAGCCATTTTAGACAGGCTCTGTCTGCCAGAGGCCCCAACACCAACCAGCAGCATGTTGCCCCTGAGCTGACTGATCACACGTACTACACGGGTTACTGTGGAGGAAAAATGAAATATTACCAATACATTTTAATTACATGTTCAGTATTCTTATAACTGCCCTGTTTTTTTATTTTTTATTCCCAGTACATCTGCACTGCGTGTCAATTTTAATATGTGTATGAGGGTGTGTGTGGATTTGTGTGCGTTGTCTTTTTAGACGCACTGTGTTCAATGGCGTCTTGGAAGAGCACCAGGTTCATGGGCACTACGCCGGGTGTCACGTTGTAGTCTTCCAGCTGGGTCTCCATGAACTTCTTGAGACCATTCATGTCCAGCAGTTCCTCATACACACTAGACTCACTCAGGAAATCACCTGACACACACACAAACACACACACAGATAAAAATAAACACACGTTAACACATTCATATCTTCTTGTGTAATCATTATTCTAACAGTTTCATAATGCTTGACCCACCAATCCATTAACCTCATTGTAAGAGAATAATTACAGTCATTGGTGTGAAATTGACATTGCTGGGTGATGGATGTATGTTTGTGTGTGTGTAGATACAAATGTACCAAATATTGGCGGTTGTTTGTTCGGGCAGATGTTGTGGAACTTGAGGTGAAAGAGTAAGTCTAGTTTCTCCCCCAGCAAAGCCACAAAGGCCTCCATGTCACTGTGATCTACCAGCCTGTCTGAAACAACCCTGAAATCAACAACAAAACATAGACAACAAATATTATCCAATACATACCCAACAAAAGCAACTGTATCTTTTGGCCAGTGTAAAATAAAGTAGAAAACCATTCACAGATGGACATGTCCTCCGCCTCAGTTGAGGGACAACGACACTAATGACACAATGAAGCTGGAACTACAGTAAATATGCTGTATGACTGTGAGAAGGTCTCTCATTACCTGAAGCACTCATGGATCCACAGTTTAGCAATGTTGTTTTTGGTATCATGGAAATCTGGCTGAGCTCTTAGCAGACCTTGAAACACCTAGAATGGGTGGAACATTGAAAAAAAATCATGGAGCGCCATTGTGACCTAAGTCACATAACTATACAGGTTAAGTTATATAAACTCTCAGTAACTTTCAAGAAAGTAAACATTACCATAGCCATTGAGAAATGACAAATGGACTGTACTAGTACACCACTTTTCTAGTCTTCTGACCACTCAAAGCGCTTTAACACTACATGTCATCATTCACACCCATTCATACGCTGATGACAGGGGCTACGGTGCAAGGTGCCACTTCCCCATCAGGACTCTAACTAATCATTCATGCCCGTTCATACACAGCAGGCAGGAGCAATGTAGGGTTGAGTGTCTTGTCCAAGGACACATCGACATGGACTAGTGTGCCGATTGAAGGACGACCCTGCTCTACCACTGAGCCACAGTCTCCCCTGATATTGGTTACCCCAATTACCAGTGTGAGGCATAGTATAGAGTGTGTTCCTAAGTTGAAGTTGAGTTGAAGTCCCTAGGCTCTAGTTGGATTTTCTTGAAAAACACATTTTACGTACTGTATGTATGTGTGTGCTGGTATACTTGTATCGCTTTAACCATTCTCTATGAATTATTGTGTACCTTGGACATATCCCTGAGGTTGAAGAGGTAGTGGGTCTTGGCTGGAGTGGGAAGAAAACGAGCTGTCACGGCATAATACAGTTCTAAGGTGGCCTGAGTCAAAACTTCTCCAATGGGCTTCACTTCCTCCTTAAAGCCCTCCAGCTTTTGGTTGATCATGGTACTGTAGATCTGCCTGATCTGGGACTCCTACATGAAGAGAAAACAGGTCTGTTTAAGTGTGGTACATCTTGTCAATGATACAGCTGTGTCAATAAGATTTATAGATTTCAAAGTGTTACTGGCCAAGAGAAGAATAGAACAGAATAGGAATCTTATATGAGGTGTGATAAGTCAATTTTATGTTGTCCAATTCACACAAGTGTCAAGGTAAGTGTTTAAAGGGTTTTACAGCCGAATGGTGCGTCACTTTAAATGTTGCCGCCACAAGGAATTGTGGGGCGGAATTATCTACTTTCCTTTCGAAAAGAAAGGTCCGGTGTTTCCTATGCTAAAGGAGCTAATAAAGGAAGCAATGAAGCACCTTTCCTTAGCATTGACAGAATTCGAACAGCTCTTATCATGGCGGCCACTTAGATACTTCCGGGTCATTTCACTCAGTTAGGAACCTTCCTAAGCAAAAAGGACTATTCGACCGCAGCTTAGAGGTGAGCTGAAGAGGGAGTGAGCAAGGAAAGGAAAGCTACAATCATAATCAGGGTCATTCTTGTATGGTGAGATCTAAAAGTGGTTGATAAACAGGGATTGAAGATGATAAAATGACAGGTTGAATATTACCACCATCAAACTTGATGGAATAACAAGGGACAGAAAAATTAAGTTTTGCTAAAATGGGAGTCTCTCTTAGTTAATCGATAAAAAAGTCAAAGCTACACAATATATAAATCCTGGGAATTATTATTGAATTGCTTATCTAATATATTTAAAAAGCCTTTTAAGTCAAATTCAATTCGTTACTACAATGTTGTTAACTTAATCCTCAGTGGTAAGAGAGGAGATGAGAAGGAAGAAGATAGGAGAGTCAGCGGGACTTACATGAGGGAAGGTCATATTGATGAGATTGAATCGACTCTGTAAGCGGCCAGATATGCGAGTCCTCCCTCCACCAGGGGGCCCCATGGACGCCAACAAGAACATGTCCTAACAAAGCAGACAAACACAACAGAAAACAGAGTTTTATGGCCTCAGTAACACACACCTGTGAAATAAACATTACCCATGTAGAGCTCTTGACCCATTTTCTAAGAGAGAATGGAAATAAAGAGGTGATTATGGAGGAAGCACTAAGAAGGCAGAACAAATAATAAGATATTAATCTCACAATAATCTAAAAACAGACCTCACTCCTGCTCCGGTCAAATTGCCCTTTCTCACCTTCACAAACTTTAAGGTCTGTTTCTGGCGGTCATACCAGAAGCCATAGTCGATCCAGAGGCGCAGAAGTTCCAGGGGTGGCTGGGAGCCAAAGAGGTCATTGGCCGGCATGTTGAGGTCGTCCAGGAACCACAGCAGGCGTTTCCCACCTGCTGGCACAAACGTCCCCTTGGTTCTCTTCTCTATGCGGCTCTCCACAATGTCCTGGATGTTATTAGTGGTGGTCTGGACAGACACAGAGAGACAAAGAAATGATCCAATGGTACGTTTCATTGGGTACCTTATATCATGAAAAAACCTAAAGCATGTGACAATAACATGCAGCAATGTGTATGTGATTTCAGCTGATCAAAAAAGCTGAAAAATGCATAAAGACTAATGAGGAACACTTGATGGATAAGATGCGTGTGCTAGCATGTGCATATGTATTTGTGGCATCTATAGATTACACCCTTTGACAGCATGCGTGTTGCAGTCCAGTGGACATTGAGTACATTCATATCATAAATCATTGTAGTCATCTTTCTCTTTATTGACACCTGAACCAACCTGTGAAGACATGTTGACAGTGAGGGCAGCCCACTTGTTATCCAAGCCCTGCAGGACGCTCTGGGCCACCGAGGTTTTACCAGTTCCCACAGGCCCAGTGAGCAGCACTGGGTACTGACCCAACACCAGAGCCATAACCAGGAAGTTGTAGCGAACTGTGTCCACTGTAGGAACCATAATCTTATAGAATGGAGCACTGCAGGAGGAAGGGAGGGATATACAGTAGATGCATTGCAGATGTTAGTGGTAGGTTTTACCATATAGTGTTTTTTTCAAAAGGGAAAATAACTGTTTTGCCAGAGAGTGTAAAGGATAAAACATCCACATTCCCACACATATATGCTTACAACAGCTGATGTCAGACACATAACAACACATTACTTACTTGGCATTGAAACGCCAGCCCTTTGGCAGCTTATCTTCAAAAGAAGCCCAGGTTTTGTTCTTGGTGTCCACATAGTACTCATAAACCGTGTCCTATAAGAGTTTACATGAAAAGATCAGAGAATGTTGGTGCCTGCTCAGATAGATTCATTCATAGATTCATTTGTGACATGCCTGTGGTGCATTTAAGATGCTTACATTAATCAAACCAAGGCTTGCAATTTTCAAACCATCTACACATCATATTGATAAAGTGTTAATGATTAGTGTAATGATTATAGAAGTGCAGGTTATTGCAGAAGTTCTCAAAGTGTTGGGCGCCAGACAACTAATGTTTTGACGTCAGAATCTTTTTCAAAGCGGAACAGTAAACAAATCTGCTGTCACAATAGCAATCCTGTTCATTCAGACAAATCTTCTGTAGGTTTATAGAATGGACCCATATTTAACGGGGACGAAAATCATTTTCTGTAATCTGAAAACCTTTCTTTCTAAAAAGGTGGGAAGCACTGGGTAATTGTCTTTTTATTAGGGAACAATTTGGCACAAAATGGGACTCACGTTCTAAACTGTCATGGTATCAACCTGTGTTTGCAATATCAACTGCTGTAGTCGTGGATTCACAGCATATAAACATCTTTCACATGTCTTTCCATATTACAATAGCCCCCTAGCCTGCCAAAGCCACTAAAACATAACATCTAGCCACAGCAGTTGCAACCTGCATTACACTTAACACTGGTCTAAGCAAGCAGACTAGTGAAAAGAGAGTGCTGTTTGACTGACTTTCTATGTCATAAGAGTGTAAACAAATGTGCTCTAAAGAGGACCTTGAAGGGGAAGGTGCCTTCCATCCCCCTTATGAAGTTGTCCACCCTCTTGCGTCCATCCTCATCAACAGTGGCACAGATGGACCAGATAAGGCTGAAGACGAACCAGAGTTCCACCATCGTACCCAAGTTTTTTGTGTCCAAAGTATTCACCTGGAGAAAGGGAGAAAATTTGATAATGTCAGAAATGTGGATTTACTTTTTAATGCCTTTAAAATGTATTGCTGAATTTCAGTCACAAGTCTGAAGTCAGTTACAACACATGAAGCTCAAGCGTAAGTTCAGTCAGGAAGACGATACTCCTGCATGCCTAAGCCCGTAGTGTATTTCTCATACATCTGCCAATCACTCCTCGTGCATGCACACTCATCATTTCCTTGCTGTTATTGTTCGGGGCTGTTGATCATGATATCAGCTGTCTAGATCAGCTGCTCTCTTCTATCCAATAGCACAACGACACAAGGACATCGTTGGCCTATCATCTTGCTGCTGTCTCTCATAAATATGATTGTCTCTCTACCTTCAGTACATTCATTCATGATGCTGTTACGCAACCCTCCACCTCCCCATCTCCCCATCTCCGCCCAATCTTGCAGATTCATCAGCTTCATCAAACTCCTCATTCTATCAGCATCATCAGCCACCACCACCACCAGTGTCTGGACTCCACGGGGGCAGACGCTCCTCAATTACAAATCTCCCTGTAGAGTCTAAGTGCCAAAGACTCTGACGACTTTATCATCACATATCATTTGTTCACAATAAACAATTATCTTTTCTTTGTCTGACTTGTCTCTCCTGATTGAAACACCATTAAGGATCAACATTTAAGGTGTGCTGGAAAATGGTTGTCATTGAGAGGGATTACAATGAGCAGTGGAGGTTACAGATTGTACTCTATTTGTCTTACCCCATTGCTGGATGTAGCCAGGGAGTCGTAGAGGCGGCAGAGGGACATTACTCCATTTAGTTCAGTGATGGGAGTCAGCTCCGTACAGTTTCTCTTCTTAAAGTTCAGTGTGCTCTCTATGTATTTCTCAAACAAACGCTTTAAATGATTCACTTCAGCCTGTGGAGAAATGGAGAGATTAACAAATGGAGATGGAACGGAAAGGGTACCAGAAAATAAGGGAATAAAACAGGTGTCATTCACAAAGGTTTTCTTATGTTCCTCTAGAAAATGTTTTCAAAAAGAAAGAATATGACGATGAGTTATTATGAGTGAATGGATTGTACCTCGGGTCGCTTGTCCAGCCAGGACTGAACTGATGGCTTCCATCCCAGATCAGTGTAGTCGTTGTAGACCATACCGCAGCGAGAAACTGTAGCTGGAGAGGCCATTGCCAGGTTCTCCACTTCAAACAGCAACGACACCTGTGACAAAACAAATAGTGATAGTTTTACTGTACATGGTTGACTATGATACAAAAATACATGGTAATTAATTGGATTCTGATTTCTTATCAGTTTCATTTTTTAATCTAGGACCATAAACAAAATAAGATTTATTCTCCAAAGACAGGGAAATGTGTTTCCACTGAGTGCATTATGTGTGCTTCCAGAACAAAGATATGTTTACATACAAAACAAACATCAAAACAATTGTACAAAATACATACAGCAGTGTGTTAATGTCATTTATTACACAAAACTACTGCTATTGTAAAAGTAAAATGTCCATGTTAGTATGCTCTCTACTCAACAGCCCGAATGCTGACATCATTGTCAAAGAAACAGCCAAGTTTGTGTCCTTTGGAGAACTGCACTACTTTCCATTTAGAAATTGGTGAAAGTTCCCAGTAGAATTTGTAATAGAAGACATCTTAAATTGTAACCTTCAGAAACAGTGTGCTGATTTAAATGCAGCTGTTTCAGCTTCAGGGTCCTGGTATTGTGTGCTTTTCATACTATGAAAAGTAAAAATATCGTGAAAAATGCCCGCACGTCTGGTTTCTTGTGCTGTTCTCACCTGTTCGGGCATGGAGATTCTCTCTCCATTGATGAGCGTGAGCACCTTGTTGTCATCCATAACAGAGTTCATACTCTCTATCCACAGTGTGTCAACAGGCCCGTCAAACACAATCCACTTCTCATCTGGCTTCTCGTCTGATATAGTGGTAGAATAATGTTCACTCTGTTACTTATATTTTTTTCACAATTTTAAGACAGCAGGATTAACATGTCTATGTAATATTCACCCGTTTACCTTTTGATTTAAACAATTTGATTTAAAAATACTTCCACTTTTGGTTTTTGGTTTAGAAAACCAGTCAAATATTGACTCCAAAAATCTATGCAAAAAGAGTTACAATGTACAACAGTGTGTGTTGCATGGCAAAGTAAAACATTTTTGGAACTACAGTGCTGTGTGCTAGATCAAAACTTTTTTTCCCTCGTAGTTTTAATGAACTTTCTGGTTGTTAAGCATTTTAAAGATGGTTACAATGATTGCAAAGAGTGGGTCTAGTGCCCATATCTGTTTGTAATTCAGTAAATCTTAGGTAAGATGGAACAAAAAGGACATTAATAGCAACATAAAGCTTCCTTTGCTCCTTGAGGATGAGGATGTGTGGTGAAACAAAGAAAATGTGTTTATGATGACAATATTAAATGAACTGTCTGAATGAGCAGTCTCGTAGCTACATTTCAAGATGGCAAAGATGCTCCTTTCACACTTTTCACCGTTTACTAATACTACTTTTTCAAAATAAAACCTGCATGAATACTCTATTAGAAATGGGATGGGATGGGATGCAGCGAGAGGAAGAATAATAAGTCCCTAGTGTGTGTACACTTATTCACCTGCGCAGGCTGATCTCATGAGGGAAGGAAGCACTCCGTCAGACCACTCATTGGTGGAGAGGTCATTTTCTCCATACAACTCTCCCAGACTCATTGCCTTGGGGTTCAGAGGATAATCCTGTTGTACCACAGGGACCAAGGCGTGGAAGAGAAAATGATTGCATCAATAGATGCATTATAATGACAGATCATAATTACAAAAGTCTTTTTGTCAGCTACAAAGCTTAAAATTATGAGAACATATTAAAACAATAGCTTTTTGTGGAGCACATGCATTTTTTTGCTCATTGTGTGATCATTTGCAGCCCCTAATCTGATTAGAGCAAGGAGTTTACGAACGCATGAATTGATTTTAGTAACTGAAAAATAAGAATAAAGAATTGTAAATAAGAAGGAAGAAAACGGGAAGAGAAGATAAACTAGTGCCCCTTTTTGTGACGCAAGAACATGTCAATTTTGTTTAAAGGAACAGTATTAGCCAATAAATTAGTTTTCTTTTCCTTCCACACCCACCTGGACCAGGTTGAAGCCAAGCTCTCCTTTGTGGTGCAGGGAACTGAGGACAATCTGCAGAGTCCTCCAGGTAACACTCTTAGCACTGCCTGTCTTGCCCACCAGCATGGAGGAGTGTCTGGAATTTTTGGTCTCATAAAGTTGGATGACTTTGGTCACGGTAAAAGGAGTCACCTGCAAACCGCTCCGACGAAGCTCCACCTCTATAGCCTCCTTCAACTGCAATAACGTTACAGAAAACGATCAATGTTGATCAGTGAGTCAGTGATGGTGATACCCTGAGTGACAGTCAAGATACAAACACTTGTTATGTATTTGACCAGGACGTACTAGGGTCAAGTGGCATTAAGTTGGTCTATTTTGGGTTATACATGTGGCTGTGCTCATACAGCAGTTTAACTGCACTGTCAGACTACAAGATGAGAAAATAATGTAGCATCAAATCTGCTACTAATGAGATCATCTTGGTAAAGGGAACTGTGCGCTATCTTTGGTTTTCTTTTGCACACACAAACATGTGATGTATGCGATGATTTATATATTTAAATAATTAAAGTCCTCTATATTTTTGTTCATCAGCAGTCTTTACAATCACATTCAGACTCATGCTCATGGACATTCTGACACACATGTTTGCTAACACAACCTTCTCCAGCAAAGTCAAAGAGACAGCCATATAGAAAGACAGAGACAGCATATGCAGAGACAATGGTGACATCTAAATGTGGTTTAACTGCTGAGCATTACAGTTTCAGTATTGGAAAATATTTTTTAGGTATATATTAATGCTACAATTAATATTAAGAAGAATTCTGGGGCAAGTGAACTATAGTTGAACAGTTGAATAGAAGATAAGAAATAAAAACAGTTTTGGTATTTGTTTATCAAAGAAGAAGGGACACTGTCATACAGCAAACAAAACAAAACACTAGCGCTCTGCAGGTAGTGATTTCAACCGCTGACTTACCTTGCCATAGTCAATAATGGGTATTTCCACACCAGGAAACAGGTCATGGGTGATCCCATTGAACACTGGCACGTCAGCAGAGGACATCTTAGCGATGTTCATGTCCTTCATAGCCATTAGCAGGATCTGAGAACAGAGGTACAAAGGCAGATCCACTAACAACTACATTCCCTATATAGTAAAGTTTAGTTTATTTGAAAGGGAAGGACAGTAGTTAGTTTAATTACATTTATAGGAGCTGGTTTCCTGTCATTTGACATCGTAGTTAAACAGGATGCCAAAAGAAGAGATGACAGCACAGCTTGGGTTCATATTTAAGCTCATGCATGTCATAGCAACTGCTTGCTATTCCCATGCAAGTTACAATATAAGTATAAATTAAATTCCCTCTTTGTGTTTCCACAGACAGCGTTTCCTCGTTGATCTGCAGTGTTCGGTCAACTTAACGTGGTGTCTCAAGGTCTTTTTAGTAAAAAGATAGTGTAAAGATAAATCAAAATGATGGAGGACTGTCTATAGAAACTTGTGAATTAGGACTATAGATACTGTTACCTCTCACTTACATTGGAAGTGCATTCGGAAGGGATCTGTTAATCGCCAGTGTGAACAACAGGAGTGATTATAGTGAGCATAACCTGTTCCCAGTAGATTGGTTTGTTGCACATGAGAGAGAGAGAGAGCGCGAGAGAAAGAGACTTACTTGTTCATTGGGAACGTTGGGGCAAGAGCGCCGCTTCGTCCCAGCATAGCGGAGCATGGAGGTGAGACTACGCAGGCCAAAATCATAGTGGTCCAATTTAGACAGCTGCTGCACTGCCAGGGAGTACAGGGTGAACACTTTCTTTGCCAGGTTCTATGAGGGGAAAAAACAGAGACAGAGGTAGAGAGTCTTTATGCTACTGAGTTACAGAGACAGAAAAGGAAGAAACAAAAGAAGACAGAGGTAGAAAGGTGAATCAGTACAAACATGAGATGAGTCAGAGTGACTTAGCAGTAAATAAATCCATCACTTCCCATTTGCTGCTTGAGTGGGCATCAAAGACATGTCTCAAAGCTTCGTTTTCAACGATACAGTCAGCTTGCATTGCAGCAAGAGAGAGCATCTGTGGTAAGACTCACTCTTACACAAATATACCTGTACACACACGATGCACTCACACCATGACCTTTCACTGAACCCTATTCCGACACTGATCCCAGACCAGCGCTCACTGCTTAAAGGAGCTTGAAATCAGTGGGGAAACAGAGAGATCAACATCCATCTCTGATCTATGTTCAGCCGAGGCTCCAATCGCTCATATTTCCCAACAATATTACATTACATGGCATTTACAGTGCAATAACCAGAATTGTCTGTTAAAAACCTTGATGAATAAATGATATAAACACTGTAAGACTGTAATCTAATATAATGAAAATCCAAACTGAATTTGTCATAATGAAAAGGCAAGCAGTGCATTTCTAATTGAATTGAATTGAATCCTGTCTGAGCTCTTCACATAAAAGATTATAGTATAACAAATCCTTGAGTCGCAGTACCCTGCAATCGTTGAAGCCCTCTCCAAACAGTATGATCTCAGCGATTAGGGTAGAGTCTGGCACCACCATGGAGATAGGTCTGAACATGGACTTGAGGTTGTCTGGAAGCTCAGTACGACCAGCGTAACCTAGGGCAAAAAAAGCAAATGGAGAGAAAAAAAACCTTTATGCATTTATTTTCATAACAAAAAAAACATACGAAAACGTCCTCTGAAAATATCCCAGACTACTTCCTCAACATAGTTTCCATAACATGCAGTGTGTGCATTTGCACATTTGTGTTGACCTACCGGGATTCATGGTGATAAAGATGCCACACGACGGGACCAGACATATCTGCTGTCCGTCAAAATGGAACTTGGATTGTCCAGCTGAGAGGGCGGACAGGATGGACAGGATTTGCTGGGCCACCACCGACAACACCTCGATGTTGATTCTGTTGAACTCATCGAAGCACCCCCATGCTCCCGTCTGTCCAGGGTGGACACAATGAAATACGTACACAAGTTTTGCAAGGATTATTTCATTCCCGAGCTGAAACAAATACACCAGTGGTGGAATGTAACTAAGTACATTTACTCAACTACTGTACTTAAGTATGTGTAGTTAAGTGTTTTATGCTACTTTATACTTCTACTTCAATATATGTTGGAAGCCAATGTTGTAGTTTTTTAATTCACTACATCTATTTGGCACCATTTGTTACTTTACTTTTATTATGGATTAAGCTACCTGGCAGTATATAAAGTAGTTGAAATCAATGCATCACTAATTATAATTTTATTCTTAAAACGGGACCATAATGAGTACTTTTACTTTTGATCCTTTAACACTGAACACTTAACAGTATATTTACACAGTAGTTTTGATAATTGTTTGGGTACTTTCTCCACCACTGGTTCACACACAAACAGAGCGAGAGAGAGCAATTTACTACTTACTAACCCAGTTTTAGTTTCAATTACGTTTAAAAGAAAATCTTAACCAAAAATGAGAAGTGTTTCAATAACTAGTTCGTAAAAAAGTGCCATCCCTAACATAAACACAACAGCATATTCAGTCACATGCTGTCACTCAAAGGTATACAAAATACTGTTTTCGTCACCATCATCATTTTCCCTTTAGCATTTCTTACCTGTGCCAGGCCAGAGTACATGCGTCCCATAGATTTGTAGTCTAACCCTTCGGAGCAGTTGATCACGATGACGTACATGCCAAGAGCTTTGCCCAAGTCCTTCACTGTCTCTGTCTTCCCAGTACCAGCTGGGCCTTTAGGAGAGCCCCCCCGATGGAGATGGAGTGCTGTGGTCAGAGTCATGTAACATCTGGACAGAGTCAAGCATTTACAGACATCAGAATACTGACATCAGTGCAAATCTATTCAGTCTTCAGTCTCCAGAATGGGGGATGGGACTCATTCAGTTGTCTGAATATTAAAAATAATATAAATAAAAGTAAAATACTTTGATTAACTTCTAAGGAATTACTTAACTGACTCGTGACAGATTGATTGACACTGATTGACTGACCTGTCAGTAAGTGGAGTGATGACGAGCCGTCCAGAGTTGCCCAGGTACTCGTAGCCATACTTGAAATGTGTGTTAGTCTGTCGGATTATGCAGTCATCCTGTTTGGAGAACGAACAAACCAGAAAATGGATAAGTTTGTGGATGTTTTCTTTGTCTCCCTCCAACTCATCTCAGCTCAGCAAAACTGATCTCTTGCTGCCATAAAGTGGAGTGGGAGAAATGCTGATGATTTAGAAAAGAATATGAAACAAAGTGAGGGTTTTTGTGTCGCAGAGGTCTTTTAAAGTGTTCCTTTAAATGCCACAAACTATGGAATCATTAATAGCGAAATCTATACTGATTTGTTTTACCACAGTTTTGCTTTTAGCTTTTAAATTCAAGAGTGAAATTCATTTTTACAGCCATTAAAAAATGTTGCTGAAATTATGGCCTGTTGTGCCCTTCTTTTTCTCCATCCTGTCTCCTATCTGTTGTTCTTCTTACTTGCATCACCCATAGCATACCTTCTCCCAGTATAGTCGCAGCTGGCAGAGCCATTCGAAGGCATTGACGTCCTTGCATTCTGATCGGACCAGCTTATCAATGACATCCCGAGCATGAACCTCCCCCGTTACCAGTGATACAATCTTCAGACGTATCTCTTTGGACAAGTTGCCACGAATGATTTCTGAATAGCGTTCAAGCTTGGAGACCTGAGAGATAAAGACAGACACAGCTAAGGCTCAAGAGTTTATTGGAAGCCTTTGAAATCTTAACATCATTATGTTGGCTTCAAATGGCGCCGAAAAGGCTGATACGCTGAATTTAACATAACAAGGCTAAAAAAATCTAAGGCTGCTCAAAATATTGAAAATGATTTAAGCTTTCAGCTTGCTGTATGGAAACACACTGGTGAGTTAACAAATGATCACAGTGAGTTCACTCAAAAATATCTAGTTAAGTTTAGTTAAGCTACAAAAACTCAACCTGTTTCCTCCGTAGGGACTTAAGAGAGGACTTTTCAGCTCCCTCCTTGCTGGTAATGAGAGATTTAGTGACATCAGTGGTCCACTGGATCTGACTGGCGGTGATCAGCATCTAAAATAGAAGAATACACACTGAACTTTGTTTTAACCTTTAGCTTTGTTCATATTCTTCACTTTAACATAATGACATGGACTGAGTAAATAACCATGGGAATAGAGAGGGGTTCATCATAGTGTTCATTTCGTCACCTATTTTCTTTCTTAATTTAGTCTTAGTCCTAGTCCAGGGGTCAAATGCCATTGTTAGTTTTTATCATATTTAGTCAACCTCATTGTTGTCTGTTTTAGTTGAAAAGTATTGTTAGTCAAAGAAAAACATTTAATCCGAATTAATTGATTTTGACCGATATTGAACATTTCAGTCAATCTAGTTTTGCAAAAATATCCCCTTGTTTCTTTCTCCCATGCCCTGTTGGTGAAATTCTTACTCTGACTCACTCTGACTGTGCTCAATGTGTGCTGCTGGTGTAGTCCTATAATGGCGCACATAATATTACGTCTCTAACCTTGTACGTTGATATAGCTTGCATTTAATGACGTCACTGCCACCTCTTCATGGTCTTGTCTTTGTCATGGGAAAAAAATGTGGCTGACGAACACACTTAGTATTCGTTAACGACATTAACACTGGTTCAGCAGGAATTGGGAAATGTGCAAAAAGACTGCATCAATGTCAGTCAGTCTGAATGTCAGATGGGTAAAGATGCAAAACCACAATGATTTTAAAATGTGAAACGACAAAACACGAATGTACCTGTCCCGGCCACTCTTTGACCCATTTGTCGAACTTGTCTGTCAACTTATTCAGAGCTGCAAGGCAGTTGGCCAGAGATTTCCTCAGTGTGACACGCATGGTCTTCTCAACTTTACACAGCCAAACCTACGTGCACACAAAACAAAATGGTGCTCACATTCTCCACCTCTCTGAATATTGTATATTGATCATGATCATAATCATTGCTGCTATACCTCCACGGTTCTGTCCAGTGTCACCACGTCGCTGAAGTCAACACTCTCCCCATCAGCAGAGAACATCCCAGTGGCTGTTTTAGTACCCTAGAAAAGACATACACATCTCAGTGATTCTGTATGATATGAAAACAGTGTTTTGTGGTTAAAGTTTTGAGGCCACTTCATCCTAGAAATTTGACTTGCTGAAATGGGGCAATACATGTAGCAAAATGTAACCTTATCAATGTGGCCTTTACAGGCTTTTGCAGATACATTTTACCATCTAAACATTTTGGAAAACTAAGAAACATTAGTCAGCACAAGGTTCAGTTTAAAAAGGTGTTTCTGCAGCACATGATGTGGTTTAATACCATCAAGTCAGGTCCAGCGTACCAGTGGAGAGCACAACTTATTGACTCTTGTTTGATGACACCGACTAAAAAGTGATGTGACAAATGAACCTGCATTGAAAACAGTGGAATCATCTTATCTTAGCAATGTGTCTACTTGGGCTGTCTGGATCATGTTGTTTTGCCCCAAATCCTGATCAGATCCTGATCTGATATTTCCACACTTTTCTACAGTTTTAGGACTTTTCCAGGATATTTTGCTGGTATGACAGATGGAAACATACCTGAATATTTCTATGTGGAAGTCTGATTTAAAAGATGTGCAGTCTATGGCTAAAACTTATCTATGAAATCATCTCTTACGTTCTTAGAAACTATGACAAATGAAATGAATAATAAAAGCTAGCACAGGTACCATCCAGCAATGACTAATATTTACATTTGAAGTATAATGTAACTTGTATTTTTTCGTGTTATGGCCAGTTAAGTTGTGATGTCATCCAACCTGCATGTGCTACCATGTGACATGACTCCGGAGTGTGTTCAAACATCATATAAACTACCATTTGAACGTTAATATGATCCTGAACCTAAATTAACATAACTGATCTGATAGATAGCATTGCAGTTCATTCTCAGCTAAAAGGAAAATAGTAGAACGTTGAAATAATTTTCCGGGACACCGTGAGATTTTCTATAACATTTGACTGTTTCTCTCCATTTGTTTTACATCACTGGAAAATTGGTCAACTGTTTTCCAGGCTGCGTGGGAACCCTGTTGAAAGAACTTTTAATTCATAATTCATAATTTTGCAAAGGCATACTTAGCCTACAATAAGACCACATTGACATTATTAAAGCATTTCAAATATGCTTGACAACTGTTCCCAAAACAAAATATGTATAGCCTGCATGATAAATGTCCTATATGTTGTGTAATGTATGATGTTCTTGACTAATTGGCCTTAAATGACTCACAGTGGTAGTAGTGCCGCACTGGCCACTGAGTGCATCTGGGCCTGGGATTGATTTCCTGGTCATTTTTGCATTTCCTGCCTTTTCAATGCGCAGCCTCTTGATGTTGTCGAAACACTTCTTCAGGTGGGGTTGAATGGCTTCGGGGTTCTGTGACTGCCCCAGGATCTCCAGCACATCCTCATTCGACAGGAAATAAAACCTTGGGAAGATCTGCCTCTTGGTCTCCAGGTACATGTCCAGGGCCTTCTGGATCTCCTCCAGCTTGGAACTCATCACTGACAGCTTCCCATGCAAGCCTGACAGACAGAGGGGAGGCTGTTTGAAGAGTTTATTTTATATATATATATATATATATATATATATATATATATGTTCTTTAAAGCAACATCATATATGTTGTCATACCAGGGTGGTGTGTTCCCTGCAAGGCGTTTTGTGTCTCGTGGAGTTCGCCAGTGACGGTCTTCCAACTTGAACTGAAGATGTCAAACTCTTTGCATTCACGAGGGAGCTGCTCCCTGATGTCCTCTCCTTGGAAAATGTTCTAGAGGGATGAAAGAAGTGAAAAATGGAAAGCGACAGAGAAAGATGGCGGTATGGCAGCGGGAAGAGGTTCATTGTGACGAGTAAACTAAAACCAGAGAGCTGTGACAGATGTGTTTTACAACGGCGTAATCCTGTAACATAGTAAAGTATGTGAGTGTGTTTCTCGTACCTCCAGATAGATCCACTGCCGCTGCACATTGAGGATCATCTCGATGACTTCCAGCACCTGTGACAGCTGCCGTTCCCAGCAGTCCACCTCCCTCTCAAAGGTTTTGACAAACCGAGAAGCCTTCATTGTGGACAGCATGGACATGTTGTCCTCCAGGGCCTGGAAAACCACCTCGGTGCCCCTGACACAGAAAGAGACAATTAAACTGCTGACGGCTGCCTGAAATGGATTCAAATGGTGATGCATTTTCACAGTGGAATAAATTCAATTTAAGTTATCAGTTTAATAGGTAAACCAGTACAGCTTTGTGTAATCCAATGCAGTTCTATACATCCTTATTACTGTGTAAACGATGCCAAAAAGCTTTTTGTTACATATTTTTGACTGCGTAACATTGAAAGGTATTTCTAATATTCACTCCCCTATTGAACATCATGAACTTTGAACTCTCTCCCTCCCTGCTTCCTCAAATATGATAACTGTGGCTGACTGTAACCTTCTCCCCTCTTGTCGAATCAGTGGCCATGACTTGAGCTGCTAATACGACTGGGCCTGAGGTGTCCCTCTATTCATTTTATATGCAGCAGTTGGCCAATTCTTGCTTTCACCAACCGGGCTGTCACACGCTTAATTAACTCTGCTCTGCTCACTCGTCTCTGACAACAAACAAACTCACTCACTGCTAACAGACACGTCATCCCTGCATCTGCGTCACATTTATAGAGGGATCTAGAGATGCAGGTAAATAAGAAACAATGACGACCCAAATCTATGACTATCAGTTGGAGTGAGTTTCTACCATAGACTGTATAAAAGAAGGTTGCAGTTATGACTTCTTGAACCCTTCAGCCATCCCTGTCATTAAGGCTTGCTTTCTCACCTCAGCCGATAGTGACCTTTGTAAGGTTCCAGGTACAGGAAAGTTTCCTCCCATGTCTTGGTAATGTCCTCCAGACCCTTGATTATCAAACACATAGAGTAATGTTAACAGACAGAACACTTGCAGAGGAAAACATTTATATTTTTCTATTACACAAGCGTTACGATACATTGTCGTGATTAGATTATCAATGACAGGAAACCATGAATCTTAGCTTGAGTTCTACTGCTCTCATATACTGTATCAGAGATGGAGAATCCTTTAGAATCTAGTGTCATAAAAAGATCTTTCTTTTCTTTTTCTCCACTCTTTTCATGCTATTCTACATCTCTTAATTCTTTTTTGAATCCCTTGGAAGTATGTTTAAGGACTAACATGGCGATATACTGTATACATGTCCGTAAAGTAAAAGGTCATTTTTTATCTGCAATGTCAAAAGTAAAAGGTACAGCTAAACACCACTAAGGAGGAAGTATTTGTCTGAAACCTTTCAGTTTAAGAATCTGACAGGTTACACGTGTGAGGAAGGTAATATTGTTTCTAAGTGCAAACTGAATGAAAGGCATAGAACAAGTGTGCACTGTGTTTCTATGCGCATTAATCTGGCCCTGAAACGTCACTGATGTAACACAGTAAGGAATGGAGAAGGGTTAGGGGCAATATTGAAGTTGGCAAAGGTTGAGGGGGCATGAAAGCCTGAAAGCAGTGTGGAAAAGAGCTGGTCAAAGGCAGAAGAAGCTACAGAACTGCCCACTAGGCATTAGTCTAAACGACAAGAAGAGACTGGACCTTTTCTATGAAGAGCTCCTTGCTGGCAGCCCCAGAGATCTCACAGATTTTGTCAGTATACTCGTCAAGCTCCAGAGATATGATCTTCTCCAGGGTGAAATCAGTGCTAGTATGATCGAAAGAGCACTGCAGCTCTTCACAGATCTGCTTCCAGTGCCTAAAAGAAAGGTGGCATTGAAAGTATGGTTTGTCTTAGTCTTAAATTCCCCAGGAGGTGAGCTGAAGAAACAAAGGTAAAGTTAAAGGTAAGGCTAACAAAGCCAATTCGATTTATAGAACGCAAAATCACAGTTCACAAATTTGGTTCAAAGGGCTTTAGAATTTGCACAACATATTACATCCTCTATCTTTAGAGCATTAGGCCTTAGCAAACTGAGGTGCTACCATGTTACAAAAACACATGTAACAAGACTGAAGAAACTACATAAATAAGCTAATACAACGGGACTTAGCGAAAGGGTTTGTGACTTTAATGCATTAACTACTGTTTAACTACATGACTGCTATTTTATATTTGTGCTCCTGTCATGTCTTGTACATGGTAACTACTGCAGGACCATAGTTCCAAGATATACTGAAATGACAAGTGTTGTATGACAAATACATATCTTCTCTTTGGTTTTCATACGATACCTGTCTCTCATGGCTGGGTTCGTCAGTTCAGCAATGAGAGGGATGATCCGCTTGAACTGGTCAATCCTGTCCTTGGAGGAATCCACTATGTCCCACTCCTTATCCTGAAATCAGACAAAGATCAGGTCCTCACTACTGTGTAGTGTAAATGAAATGTGAGAGCAGCTGAGGGCTTTATTTCAGCTGTACCTTTTGTGATATTAGCACATTATTTTGTGCATTCTAAGGGGAGGCCATAGATTTGGCTGTCACTGTAAAATGCATTTTTGGCAGAGCCTGTGGGTCTAAAGCTCAAAATATCAAATGAAGCCCCCAAGGAGTTTGCTAACTTTGTATCCATTAGAAATACAAAAAGTAATTCAGTGTTCTTTCGACTGAAACCACGAATAATGTCCAGCTTCTGAATTGTACAGTACTGATTACATATTGTTTTGGCATTAGTTAATAACAATCTATATGAAACAAAACCTAAACTTACACTGGTGATATATCATAGCTAAACCGTGACTCTTACACTGTAGCACGGCGCCAACATCTGCAGCTATTCAAAAGCTATGAGTGATGGAACTGACCTTTAGTTCTCTCTGGAGTTTGTGGAGTTTTTTAAACAAGTCCTGAGCCGTGCTGCCCATGCTCTCCGTCCGCAGCGTAGAAAGTTGTCCAACCTTCCAGATGTCCCAGTTGGCATTCCACTCCTGCGTGATCTCCCAGACCTGCTGCAGGTGGTCTAAATCCTGTACAAAACACACGGACACAAACAAACATATGGACAAACAAATGTTCAACCATTAAAGTGTCTTGCATCACTGTGACAAAAACTATTTATTTTGAAATTTCTTGCGACATTCTGGGTTTGAATTCCCTAATATTATATACTATCAAGTACTTGTAATGTTTACAAACGGCTTGCTTCGTTCACCCATGTTGAGAGACAGTTTATCACGACCACAATTCCCACAACCCTCTCTGCTTTATGTTTGAGCGTATGGCCTATGAGCCTAGTGCTGTGTCAGACCTTCTCCAGCATTCGTATGCTTTTGGTTGGGTGCTGCTCTGTTTCAAAGAAGCCCAACCCCTGAAAGATGGCGCTCTCTTCTTCTTTTAGAGTCTCCAGCTGGCTGCGATACCCCACTATCTCGTTTAAGGCCAACTCAGTGCTCAACGCGCTGTCAAATGGACCTGGATATGCACATGCAAAGAAGGGAGATAAAAAAAAAAACACATGAAAAAAGCATACAAATTGACAAACATACCACAGCCATATGTCCACACACTAGGACTGTCCAAAAATGAACTTCAAATATTCGTTCTTAAAAAAACACATTGGCACTGTTTTGAGGTGAACTTCTTGTCAGACGCCCTGTTTCTGTTCATTAGCGCGCTGTCCGCAATGGACGAGGAACAGCTGATTGGTGACATTAAAAGTTCTATAGTTCTATAGTTCTATATCTATACAACATCATTTCACTACAAAAAAATAAATAATGTAGCAGCTGGCAAGAGGGAGATTGCCAGGGAGTATGAACCAGTTTCCTCCATGCTCTTGACTATAGTGTTTGTCATTTCCAGTCAATTTCACAATATTTAAAAAAAAAAAATTGTTTAAAAGTACAACGCTTTTATATAATAAAAAATATATATATAATTTTTCAGATTTTAATATCTATTTTTTACTATTAAAAATACATATTCAGATTTAGAATATTCACTGACAGCCCTACCACACATAAAAGCACAAAAATGAAGTGCACATATTATGCAATGCATACTGTTTCTTAGCCTCAGCAAGAACACACAGATTTGCATATTTATTGGGAAATTATCATATAAACCATGGAAGGCCAACAGCTCGGCCATAGAGACGGCACAAAGAATATGTGAAACAAACACACTGGTACAAGCCTTAAGAAACTAGAGATTTGTTAACCATTAGACCATTAACCAAGATTTATTTACAAGGTATCTATCGGTAATAATACTATATCTGTCAAGATCTTGGTTTTGGCCACGTTTTTGCCTCATCCCTGTCTCATTTGTTTGCCTGTACTGACTGCCTACCTGTGTACTGAACCTGATCTGATCAGTAGAGACTGTTTTATCTACACTTGATCTTGCTGTCTGGGTTGTCCTATTGAGTCCTGGTTTTCCTGTGCTTCCATGAGGCGTAACAATATCTATAAGTACCTTTGTTTGTCAGATATCCCATTCACTGTATTGGCAAAAAAATAAACTTTCATCTTGTTTTTAAATGTAGAAACCCTTATTATAGATAGAATTTTCAATAAATCTAGATTAAATTGCTATCGTTCTGTACAATGACATATAATATGATAGGAGTTTTAATTCATACAAGCCACTCTTATAGCACTTATGTGAAGGAGGAGAAACAAAGGAACTATGGTAGTACCCCAAAACAAAAGGGAAACGGGAGCCAAAAAGAGTGGGAAAGGAACAGAAGAGATGGAGAGGAGTGAGAGATCATGATGTGGCAGGAAATGGTGTGTCTCCCAGTCAGGAACATTCCTTTTAATATGGAAGGGCGCAGCTGTGAAGTCATCAATCATCAAGGGCAAGAACAGATTTAATGCAGGCTATTGGTTCTAAATAGGCCACCAATAGATTAGTAATGGCTCACGGACAGAACGAAACTGAGAGAACGACACTAACGTGCATACACCATGGTGATAATGTGTATAAGTGTGTGAAAGAGAGAGAGAGAGAGTGTGTGTGTGTGTGACCTGTGCTGTTGAACTCCTGCACAATGGTCTTGGTCTTCTTCAGGAACTCAGGGATAATACTGTTCCTAAAGTTCTCCTTCTGCTTCTGCAGCATGATGCCACTGTCAATCAGCACCTGCTGGAACCACACCCACTCCCCATTCAGCACCTCACGCATATCCTGCACCTGTTAGTAAACCCAAAAAAAACGTAGTATTTGTTGTACGTATAGATACAGTACCCTAACCTGACCCGCCAGATGGTTTGTGACACAGAACCATCTGGAACCTGTTGGGAAAAGGGCATGCACTTCCAAAAAAAACACTTGACAGGTGATTGGATGAAACCATCTGTCAATCAAACTCTTGCCGAGGTCAATGGGGAGAAAAGCGAAAACATTACAACAGCAATAGAAGGCACTTTCTTTTACTAACTGAGTGTTTGGGAGAGAAAACCTGAGAGCCATTACAGGGGTGCAAACGGCAAAGTCACTGTTATACAGTATACATCTTACACACACTCCTGTATCATTTATGCTGGATATGTGTATACTGTATATTTGTTTATAAATGAGTGAGGCGCTTACATCCTGTTCCACTGGGACCTCATATTTGTCCAGGATAGCAAATTGGTCATGGATGAGAGGAATCTGAGCCTCTGTCTTGGCCAAATCGCCCTGGAGAGTCTCCAAGAGCTTCATGCTCTCACCAAACTCCGCCAATGTCTGGGGAGGTCGTCTCAGCCTAAACTCACACACAGAGACACAACACAAATGTTCAAATGTTTAGGGGATCAAGATCAGCTCCCTTTCCTTTTCCTTCTTCCATTAATCTTCATCTCCCCTAAAAGCCAAGAACCTCTCTTCCTCTTGGCACCTGTCAACTCTACACTCTGTAATAAACACATCAATTAACCCCCCCAAAAAATGAAATCATTCGCTTGACTTCCCACCTGTTGGCATTGTCTTGCAGAGAGCCATGGAGTTCTTTTAAGTGGGTGCTAGCCATTTGCCGGAGCAGCTGAGTGAACTTGGTTTGCCACTCGCTGCAGAGCTGCGCCAAGGAGGACTTGATTGGTGAACAGTCCAGCGTGACAACCCAGATGTTCAAAACCGTCTCTTCCTGTTGAATGGTGTAGGCTTTTTCCGTGTACCTGGGGGAGAACAACGGACATGACACAAAAGAGGGAGATTATTGAGTCTGTATGCTTCATTATGGTAAACAAACATGTAAACAATGTCTTATGACGAAATAAAACAAATGTGCACTTGGGAGATTGAAACAGATAAAATGCAATTAGAGGATAGGTCTGTAGAAAGTGAATTGTAAAAAATAATCAGCTGCCGGGAACAACAGTTGTTGTCAAAAGGTTCATAGAAAACCTCTTAAACGGGTCAATTGAAGAATGATGTGAGTAGGATTATTGCACAGTGCCTGTGTATATCTGCATCAAAAGTAGTGACTGGTGGGTTTAGTCTCCGGTAGCGTTGTATAAAGGAGTCCTGGTTGCTCTGCCAGATATCCCTGTATTTGTCCCAGGTCTTCAGGTAGGCCTGCAGTTGGCTGGCATTGGATGTCATCCCTGCGGTAACTGCAGCCTGAATCTTCCTTATCTCCTCGTCTTGCTCTGAAGGATTAAAGCGGACCATGGGTGACAAAGGGGACAGACAGATAGACATGGTGGTAGTATACATACATATACAACTGCTCAGTAATCACTGTCTGTAATTTGCGTAATTTCAAAGGACTTTATGTATACATCAGGTCTGCATTTGATCAGCACCCAGTAAAAACTGTTCAGATGCGCACATTTGTACTCTCCGAAATATATGTCCTTACCTATGTTCATGTGTATGGTATTCCCTTCTGACGGTTTACAGGAGAGAATTTCAGGCAGTCGTTTAAATTCTGAGACGGTGTCGATGAGCTGAGGCATAATGTTCACAATCTGAGCAAGCTTTCCGAGTGTCGGGGAGAACTCGACCTGTTAAAACAGACACTCACTTTTACCCAAGATATCACATCGCCAGCCAATCAATTGTTAATTAAACTACACTGCTGCCAGGCTAATTTACATATCTGTGTGTGTGTGTGAGTGTTAAATCAAGTTTGCACCAAAACAGTCATACCATCACCATGTAGCAAAGCCTCGCAGCAAGTGCAAGATGCATCAATGTGAGCGTGGCAGGTGTACCTGTGTGTGAGTTTATTGTCACAATCAAAGGTTGTAATTTGTCCAACTCATTGATCGCCGCATGTGTGCATATGTTCGGGTGTGTGTGTGTGTTCTATACTATTTGATCACGACATGTAGCTATTCTCCTGTGCTATCATATTGTAAACCAGCTATTCCCAACCACTGGTTGGCCTCAGAGGTAGTGGCAAATGATTAGATTGAATTTGAAAAAGATATATTCGTACCAGTGACATAACACATTTGTATGGTCCAGTTTATTTTTTCCCCTTTTTTATAATTTATTTGGGAAGGTGGTCTTTAGAAACAAGAATGAGAATATCTGCTGTAAATGGTATGGCCGTCTTGTCGACACGAGAATCTCTGTTTGCGAGAGCAGCACTTAAACTAGCCACACAACAAGACTAGTTTTATGTTTCCTACATCACTGAGCACACGCAAGATCATGTGATACAATTTTGCCGTCCATGCAGGTCAGCACATGGAAACACATCCTAAGATATACAGCCATATCTTATACTCATAATCACATGACCCAATTGGATTAAGACGGATTGATGGTACCTTTGGTGTTGGTGTGGTTTGGAGGGTTGCCTGGCGCAGTGCTACTAGGACTTTGAACAAGGGATTGGGCGATGTCTTGCCGTCTCCATTGATGGCCATGGATAGCTTCTCCATGGAGTGCTTGATGCTGCTCCAAAGAGCTTGCTCTACCAAGTGGTCCACTTTCTCTGTGTAGGTTACCCAGTGCTCCTGGACCTTAAACACCATGACAAATGAACACGCATGACATGGCAGTAAAAATATGGGCTGTACCTGTTATCCGATAAAAATACAAAAAGCTCAATAAATCGATCTCTCAATAAGAAAGGAAAGAGATCCCATAGATACAGCTGTAGATTACAATGATTGCTGTTGAGTTGAGTAGTTGGTCCTTGAGGGAGTTTTATTCGGGACATTTTTAATTCAACTAAACTTATTTGAAAAGTATGTTTTTTTTTACTAGTTTGACCGCTAGTGAAAGGCAGAATCAGTAAGATTTGTTGGTTGCAGTTTGTAAACACAACACTTAAAGGTTGCCCTTCTCCACGGCTCAACAACAGAAGAAGCTCATGCCTCCTGATTGTTGTTTGGGTGCTCACCAGCAGGATAAAGGGTCTCGACAGAAACAGACACCTCCACACACCTCCATTGGGTCATGGTTGTCTGCGATGATTGAAGTGATGAGAGGGAACATTTTTGTGTGGTTCTATACATTGTTTTTTAGGAAAATCCAACTCATTCTGTCCTTAAAATACTTATGTGGGTCAATGCTATTGTATCCAGCAATTGTTTAACTGCTTTATACCTCATCTCTAGAAAAAAGAGAAAACAATCTTGCTTCCCTATCCTCTAAGCTTCTACTACTACTTATACTGTAGTATATCATATAAAGTAAGCAGAGAATAATATTTTTAAAAAAAAACTCTGATGAAAGGCTACCAATACTGAATGAAAAATAATGCACAAACCTCAGGTCCATCATTACAGAAGGTTTTGTGAATGCGGGTCATGATGTTAACAATATTCCGGTGCGCTGAACACAGTATTTGGAGTTGGCTCTGCTGGTGAGTCTTCTGGTCATCCTCAAACTCCAGGTTCCTAAGAATTGCAACAGGACAAACATCCATTATGCCACCAAGAAAGGAAACAATGTGCATCACTTGGAAGCATAGGTATATTCAAAATGCTCCCCATGTGCATCGCTTCAAATCAATGTCAAAAAGTGGAGAGGCTTCCTTTGTGAGCTTTCAGTATAATGCGGTTACACTGGCCTGTCAACACGTCTATTGGTTTTCTAGACCATTACCTGTACATCTGAACGGAGACTACACAGAATGACAGCACAGACAAAAACCACATGTCCACTGAGTAAAATAATAAATTAATAAGAAGAATATAGCGAAGGGGAGTGATCAATTCTGAGCAATTGAACAAAAAAAAATGTACCCACTGTTTACTGTTTTTAAAGAATATGCATTTTAAGTACATCTATATTTATAATCTATATTTTGTGTATTTACTGTGTTAGGCATCCCATGCAATGAGGAAGTAATCAAACATCTCTTGGTACCTGTATACAGTCTTTCCATCCAGTTTAACCAGCAATGTTTCACTGATTCGGCGACAGAGGTTGAAGATGGATTGGTTGGATGCTTTGTAACCATCGACTGTCCACTTGACCTGGAGGGTAATGAAAAGGAGAAAGAAGCAACTCCTCAGTACAATTCACTTACTGAACCAGGAATCTTCCACCTTCCAGATCTGTTGAGGATGCTTTTAGTCACTTCTGTCCTGTTCTCTGGAACTTAATGCCTGACGAAGTAAGATCTGTGAAAACTGTGTCCTTGTTCAAAAGTACACTGAACATTTGCAAACACATTTCTCCAGCTGTTCAGGGGATTTAATCCGCACGCTGAAAAAAAAACTCTCCATTCACCCACTTTTTCATTTGTACACATGTCAGAAAGGGGTGAGCTTTGTGTTACAACCTTGTTAACATGCAGGAGACATTCCTGGATGAAGAAGTTAGCAGCTCCTTTAGAAGACCACAGGAGCTTGGTCAGCCCTGGCTGAATCTTTTTATTCATGAAACCAATTCGCTCCCGGAACAGACCCAACTCGTCGGGAGACAGCATTCCAATGATCCTGATACACGCACACACACATATATACAGTACACACACACACACACACACACACACACACACACACACACAAACAGGTGAGGTAAGTACTATTAGTGTGTTTTGTTTACTTCTGGAGTGGGCAAAATACCTAACAACTAGAAAACAGTTTGTTTTGAGATTTTCAATATTTGTTTTCATTTTAAATACCCTGTGAAGTCCTATGTTACCAGCTAAGAATCAAATATTCTAATGCTTGACAGACTTGGCTTTGTGATAAACCACACATCAGTGTTTAGAGTAGGCACAGTATCGTCCAAAAAATAAGAAATCAGATGATTACCACATAACCATACACATCAGGCCCCTGATATCAGAAATCATTGTTCAGTGTTGCATGCATGTTTGTTCTCCTCTTCTCTGTGTGTGTGTGTGTGTGTGTGTGTGTGTGTGTGCGTGCGTGCGTGCGTGTGTGAGTCAGACCTGTTGTAGTTTGTGACCAGAAGCAGTGCTCTCTCACTCAGGCATCTGATGTCCTCCCTGTCCTGGGAAATGTCAGACACACACTGGGGGATCTCGTACTTTAGTCGATCCCAGTAGTGGATCTCAGAGAAAATATTCAACAGGTTGCTGGACAAGAAAACACATTAAAGAAAAACACACAAAATAAATACAGTAATGAGCACATGCATGTGTCATGTATGTGTGCACACATTTGAGTAGAACAGTTTAGTTTCTAAATAAATATATTGTGTGAGAGCATATCTGTGTATCCAGCTGAGGAGTGTGTATTTATACATGTTTGGGCATGAATGCAAAGTTACCACGCAACACATTGGCTCGGGTTTGTGTGTGTCACAAGTACACAGAAAACACTATGTAAGACTGTGTGAATCTATACTTTAATGTGAATGCCTTGAGTGTCTTGTGTGCCAGTCTTGATTACGTCACCCACTTATCAAAGTTGACGTTGAGCTTGGCGGTGCTGTCCTTGCGGCGCACCATGAGTGGCTGCTCCAGTTTTTTGAGGGACTGTCCATCCAGCTTCTGGTTCCACTCGCTGAAGCTCTTCCTCTCCATCTCGTCCAGAACCTGAACTATCTGGCTGTAGGTGAAAAACACCTTGTGGTTGTATGACTCGGGTAGGAAGTGGGCCTTCTTAAGCACCTGGAGGGGAAGGAGAGAGGACAAGTGAAGAAGAAGTCAAGGAAGGAGCTCCAGAAAGTGGGTTCAGTTAAGACCATGAATGCCATCTGTTTACAGTCAACATATGGTTCATACTACACTTCTTTACTTTGCATTGCTTATGTGATAGCATGACTAAAACAATAGAAGAATAGATCACTGTGTGGTGATGGACTCACCTCCATGGGTCTCGCTAAGCTTTGTCTGAGGGCCATCAACCAGTGGGCCTTGCCTGCCAACCGGGGCATATGGTCGGGAGGAGACCACGTCTTCTGGTTCAGCTCCTTGTTGACCATTTGGAGCTCGTTGTTAAAGATGTTTATCACTTCCTCCACCTTCTCTTCTGTGGTGCGCTTAATGGCCTGTGACGGAGAGGATTGGACAGAAGTGAGTGAGTAGATGAATTACATGGGAGTGAGAGAAGAAAGAAGACAGGTGAAAGACAAACATTGAGCAAAGAAAATAGAGAATGAGAGTTTGAGAATGAGCATTGTGGTAATACACTGAGACAAATATGGGGTTTCTAAACAAGCTCTAAATACAACATAACAAAGATAAACTATAAACCAAGCCTAATATGGGAAGTCTCTTTTGCTCTCAGAGCATCAAAGTGATAGAAGAGTCAGTTCTTTAACATTTACTTTGGTAACTTGAATGTTTGTGTGTGTGTGTGTGTGTGTGTGTGTGTGTGTGTGTGTGTGTGTGT